AAACATTCATCCCCCCTTGTGGAGCAGATCTATAACCGATTTTCCCGCTGGCCAAAGCATTATATTAGTATGAAAACCTGCAGCTCATTATTGAAGAGGCCCAGAATATGCGGATGTTCAGCCAAATCTCACAAGTTCCTCGAATATAACGGAATAAACAACCTCGCCAGTATGTCGATATTGTATGGCGGGGTCAACGATCGTGAGTCGGGAAAACCTGCATGAATAACCAGTAAATGCAGGATATGATTCGGCTATATCAGAGAAGATAAGACAAGGTCGATACTTGGGGGTCAAAAGAAAACTAACGGCTAATGATACACCACTCCGGCGCAGAGGAACATATGCGCGATGCGCGATCGGCGTGATTTTCAAATTCCGGAGGGAGCTGCCTAGAAATGTAAGCAGATAATTATTCAATATTCGAGCTTCATTTCCTATATCGGAGGTGCAAGTATAAAAATTAAATACCTGTGAAAGTAACAGACAATTCGGACGACACTTCGGCTTGGCCCAAGCCTTGCAGGACGGATGGTCGCAGTCGGGCTTTGATCAGATAGGAGTACGCTCTCAGCCGGAATCGGATTGTTTTATGATCGGCTTTTCTTTCTAGGCTATTATTATCCCGTCCAATACGGATAATGAAAATTCTCAAGGACACCTGCATCGGATTTAGATGAAGACTGGGTCAATCATCTCAAAGCAGACTGACAGGTGAAAACTCAGGCAGTGATTAGCCGACAGGAGAGCAAGGTGCCGTCTCATCATCACTGTCATCTAAAGCCCAGCTTCTTGGTAGCCGTGTATCGGAGAATTGAATAATGTTTTGGTATTCAGCCTATTGATAGCCTAGCCATATTTCAAAGGTGACGGCTTCATTCGGCCTCAGGGGCCAAGAAGACACCGCTTTTCCATTAGTTAATGACTCCAGTTGACGAGCAGCCCTTTTGGAGCAGCCCGGGTCTGGCTGGGGAATTCGTGAAGGGGGGAACCCCTGAGATGCATATATTCCGGGTGAGTTATGCTCGTCCAGTCCAAGTCTCGCAAGTCTGTCCAAATAAAAAGTAGTCAGTCCCGAATAGCTAGGGTTGCCTAACTAGTTAACTAGCCGTCCCGGCCAAGGAAGAAGCTAACTACCAACTTCACCGCCACCGGCTTGCTTGCTTCTCGAAGGCCCTTGAACCAGGTTTTCTTTTGATGTCGTCTGGATGTTTGTTTACTCTTTTCCGCTCTCGAAGCGTCTCCGTGTGGAGATTGCCGCTGGCACGTGACCATTCCGAAATCCTCGATGGAGCGTCCAGGATATAAAAGTCGGCGAATCCTCCGTGCTAACGCTTAACCAGCAGATGGACGACGTGCAGAGCCATAACGGACCATCCAGCCTGGCCAAGTGGTCGTCTTGCCTGTGTTGTTCGCGCTGCAACGATGCTGACTTCAAAGTCGTGGCTGAATGCATACATCCTGACATTCAACTGTGCGAGAAACACCATTGATACCCAGGTATTTGCCTCTCACCTATTTGATGGCCTTCCAAAGGACTCCGATCCAGTCAGTTATCCAGAGGTCTTGGTCTTGTCGCTGCAAGAAATCGCACCCATCGCGTATGCGTTTCTTGGCGGACCATTTCTCGAATGGTATTTTGATGCGTTTAGACTGGCTGTTGACCTGGCGACACCTGAGGATCAGCGATACCAGAATGTCATGACGAAGAATGTGGGGATGACCGCCATCATGGTATTCATTCGAGATGATTATGTTGACCGCATAGCATGGAAGGAGGAAGCAGAGGTTGGAGTTGGAGTCCACCAGGCTGGCAACAAAGGCGCTGTTGGGGCAAGAATAGGGTACCAAGTGGACTATGATAGTGAGGACCAGCTTCCCTTAACGTTTGTCTCATTGCATCTTGCTCCAGATGAAAGTGCAATAGATCGGAGAAATCAGGATTGGAAAGATATATGTCAGAGACTTGTCTTTACTGGTTGCGATGTGGCGGGTCAATCGGGGCGTCAACATCGACAATATGACGAAGAGGGAACGCCTTTAATCGCAAACTATCACGGGTCAGAAAGGGGCAGTGGAATGTACTCGCCGAACACGTATCTATTTGTAGCCGGGGACTTTAACTATCGCACATCACATAGAGACCCTCAACCCGGCGATATACATGCGTTTCCCCAACCCACAAATGACACAAGCAGTAGGAACCATTATATGCACCTGCTAGCTCATGACCAGCTCACAAGAGAGCGACTAGCAAACAGAACTATGCATCATCTCTCGGAACGACCCATTACATTCCCTCCGTCCTACAAATACTCTCTGGAAGCCCGAGAGGGTAGTCTGCACCATCCTGAGGAGGGGTTCAAGTGGGCTAAGAACCGGTGGCCCAGCTGGTGTGACCGCATCTTATACCTAGAAAACCCATTTCCAGGAGACGAGTCTCAAAAAGTCCAAGTACATCATTACGGCATACTACCGCTTTTCCAGACTTCAGATCACCGTGCTGTTGTGGTATCTCTTTCAGTCCCTCTCAAGACTCCGCCCGCCCTCCAGGACTCCTCTGCGATTTCTCCTCCTTTTGACATTGATCATGATTGGCGAAGCAAGCGTTTAATTGCTAGAAAGAAGGAAATTGCCGTAGGAACTATGGCCTATCTAGCTCTAACTTGGGAGGGCAACGGCTTGATATTAGCAGCGATTTTGGGGATTGCTGCTGGATACTTCACCCTGTATGGTCTCGAATAATACCTCTAATCCCGTGAGAAGAGGTGTAACCTTTCCCATTCTTGGATGCCTGCTCAGATATTAATAAAAAGACTTATAACCGGCTACTGGATCGGCTTTCGGAACAGACTTTTAAAATCAAGTCCCTCCTCTTTCTGCATGTCCGCAATATCTTGCAATTTATAGTCGCATTTTCTATGGGCCCCATTTATCAATTTAATCTGGTCATTTGAATCCCCCCCTATGTTGGGAACAAGCAGCTGAAAGCACATCGAACGTATGATACATGCTTTGGCCCGAGTTCAGGGCCTATTATACCTCGCGGCCTGGGATGCTATGGAGACTTTAGATGGTTTCCAAAACGTGACTCCACATATTTAATTTCCAAACCGCTCCAAACGTTTCACCCCTTGTCAAAACAAGTCGCCTTTACAAAAACGAGGGTCGAGCTACTTACCGATCCTTGGGACGGCAAAGTAAATATTTACAAACATGCCAATCGCCAACCTTATTATCAGCCACTCCACAACGTTTATGCCGGCGTGCGAAGAGGATAATTTGTGCATCTTTTGAGGCTATACATGCGACGCAATGTACGCACGGGCGGCACCCAGGAGAACAGGAGAAACGCATGGAGGCCTTCAGCCTTTGTTTAGACAAGACATGGTTATGGTGTTTCGTGTTTGCCAGCGCTATCTGCGGAGGAATGGCATCTTATCCCCTCCGTTTGAAACATTAAGCCACCCGCCACGGCTGCACAAATAGATACTTATATTGTGCTGCCTAATCAATGGACTCCCTGGCTTGGGGGCAGCCGTAATGGAGTCGTCCGTTTTCTGTACGGAGAACGGAGTATTTGCCGTGGTGATTATCGGCTACTTGGATAACTAACTAGTTTCCACAGCTCCTGAGACAGTCCTGTACTCTCCGCTGTCAACTCGTTATCGATTCTTGTAGCTATCGGCTTTGGGCTATAGGGTGGTAATATACGTTTTGGTGTTTGATACTCTATGTTGTCCAGTGTTTTCTACGAGTTAATCTCGGCTTTGAACAAGTCACCGTGGACGACTAGCTATGCCTTTACTAAATGCGGGCTTGTTTGATTCGCAAATAGAAATATATTCAACTGAATACCCGGAATTAATAAAATAAATAAAACCGAAAAATGCTCTGGACAGGAAGATGTACATGAGGCTCCAAAGTGAGGTTCCCGAACTCACTCAAGCCTTCTGCGTCGGACATCGACCTTGTTACTGTCTTTCAAGCCCTGGCGATAGGCTGAAGCATCTCTGACATCTGTGTAATGCCGCGCTTTTGTGTATAACCGGATACCTTGGTGCTTCAGATAGCCGTCCCCTACTTTCTTTGACGTTTGGCGGAACAGAATAAGTTGCATCTCGGATTTCCACAGGCTCGCCGCAGGAACACTAGTCACTGGAATATTCCTAGGCGTAGCCGTGTCCGCACCGGTTGAGGCATGCGAATGCTTCTCCTCTGACTTTATACCATCCAAGCTAATAAATGGTGATGCTTCGCGTTTCAGAAGCCTGCCAATCTCCTCATCCAAATCCGCGGTGGGTGAGAAACTGGCCACAGAACCGACGATCCCTGGCGGCTAACAGGTGAGCGAACTGCAAGGCTGGCCGGGGGGATCCTGCGAGGCATCAGCCAGTTGGAATGAAATGGGTACTCCGTAGAGCAATAAATTAAGGAAGATGAAATGGTGGACGGCGTTCTGGCTGCCTGGAGGGACCAGAAGGAGTAGTTAGAGGGTAGAACCAGCGCCATGACAGGTGTTAGTCGTCGAGAAGAGAGAGTGAGCCGTGAGCCTGTATAGCTCTGGCAAAGGTTTGGATCTTGTCATCCATCGCTATTCGCCATTGACAGTTGTTTGAATGGTCAATCAATGTCTGACTGGCGTTATGATGCGATGTGAGTGCAGGAAGTCAACTCGTGACGTTGACCACACCCTATAACATCACCATCATCACCATCATCACCATCATCACCATCATCACCATCATCACCATCATCATCAACATCAACAACTACCAACTCTCAGCGACTACTCGGTGTATCACTTTCCCGGGCTTCTTCGGTCGATATGACTCTGCCTTTACGGCGTGATCTGCATTTCGAGTCATTTCATCTCGCTGTGATGACTCACCCCAGCCACATTGAAGACCATCAATAAAAAGGGCCGGCAACGAAGGCGAAGGCGCCCGTTGATATAGAACAGATTTTGAAATCAACAGCAAGAAGATACCAGACCCGTCATGCTTCATCTAGACGGCAGCACGCTCGAAGGCGGCGGCCAACTCGTGCGCATCGCTGCCGCCCTATCAGCTTTGACCGGGAAACCGCTGAGTATCAGCCGCATACGCGCGAACCGAAGCGGCTCCAAGGGGCTGAAGGCCTCTCACTGTGCAGCCATAAAATTCTTGCTTGATGTCTGTGGAGGGACCGCGGTGGGGAACCAGGTTGGGCATCATGAACTCTCCATCTACCCAAGGGGACAGAAGACCGGGAGGAGCAGTTTGCAGACCAAGCGGGAAGACAACAATGCGAATTCAGACCTGAGAAAGTCGGCGGCGTCTTTACAGCAGCTATCACTCACTTCTCTGTACTCGTCACCGCGTGTCACAGTTAAATCAGAGTATGACATACGCCTATCAACACCGGGCTCGGTCTTCTTAATATTCCAAGCGCTCTATCCGTACCTTTTGTTTGCCGGCGCATGCACGCCGACAATAGAAGCCGATGCTGGCACTTCAGACACGGTACGGGAGCATCCAAAGGGAATACGGGTAAATATCACAGGCGGCACGCATGTGTCATTCTCCCCGTCGTACGATTATATATCCCAAGTGTTGATTCCAAATTTCGCGAAATTTGGGCTCCCTCCTTTATCTATGGAGCTGAAGAAACGCGGCTGGGCCACAGGCCAATGGGCAGAAGTAGGGGCAGTGTCGTTGGTTATTTCACCCTTATCGGCAAATGGGACGCCGTCTAGGTCTGACACCATATCATCACCGTCGCACGACAGTGGCAGAGCTCAGGCCGAAACACCCCCTGTAGTATTCCCGAGCATCGAGCTGGATGCGTTTGACAAAGGATTTATCACGCAAATAGATGTGACAATCCTCGCACCTGATACCCTTGCACAGAAGCTTCTAAAGGAACTTTCTGCAAAGTCGGCCAAGGGCCGCAACAGGGACAAGAAGTTGCAGAAGAAGGCAGTTCTTTGCCATGACCCATCCGGGGTCCGAAATCCGTATCGTGAGCAGGAAACTTCGGAGGACGGAGACGAGTACCTTAGTAACGCCGGAGAGCAAGCAGCGTGTATGGGTGATGCCTGTAACATGAAGCAAGGACCACCTCAAACGGCTCGAGAATTCATCCAGCTGGAAACTATCAGGACGTTATCCAGAGAGCTCAATCGTCAGGTCAACAGAGAACAAAGCGTGTTACCAACCACACCAGAGATCGACGATGCAGAAGTCGATGAGATGCAGTCACATCGTATTAATATTGGTGACGTGGTTGTTAATCTGCATACATCAGAGGCAACGTCCCACTACTCACAGACCTATATCCTCCTAGTCGCCCACACATCGACGGGGTTCCGTCTGGGGAGAGACGCACTTTATTCGTCATTCCACCATGGGCCAAGTAGGAGTGATTCCAAAACAGGGAAGAAGGCTAGGAAAGGGTCTGCTAGATCCAGTGCAGACAGTGGGAATATCCTGCTGAGAATGAAGGGCATGATCGATCAATGCGTGACAGACCTAATGGATGAATTCGAAAGCCATCCAGGAGACCAGGGGCAGGGCAGACGGATAATCATACCGAAGAAGGCAGTTGATGTATATATGAGGGATCAGCTCGTTGTATTTGAAGCGCTTGGAAGATTGACCCATCCTGGTCCCCATCTATCGGCGGGCGGGGAGCAGCGGGACGAGGAGGGAGTTAGCCTCCATACTCGCACCGCAAAGTGGGTATGTGAACAGATACTTGGATGTCCATGATGGACCAGAGTGCTAGCGCTCCTCCGTGGTCAGAATATATACTGGAGCGATGACACTATCTTCTACCCGCCTCCCCTAGCGCATTGGGCTCGATAGTATCGATCATCACGAAGGAATCGACAGCATCTTCACTCACCCACTCAATCAATCTGAGAGCACATTCAATCTAAAACTAAATAGCGTCAACGATGGGATCCATCAGAACGCTTTAGGCCTTGTTTCACCTTGCCATAGTCGCTCAGCAATGAAGCCCTAAACGTGCCTAAAACATGCTTCATATATGATATTCTGCAGACTACGGAGTAAATCCATTATTTTCCATTCAGAGTAAGGAGAAGTTGCCTATTCATATTATTATTATTCACACAGACCCAGCGAAGCTCAGCTGCAGCTAACAAACCGGACTAGTTAGTGGATAGGGTCAAGGGTGTGTCGAGCCGTCGGTTCAACGGTCGTCGTGGCGCTCTTAGCGATCTAAGCGAGGCGCAAAAAAACAAGGCATCACCAAAGCTCAAGAAGACATCGAAGCGTCTGCCCTGCATGTTTATTATTCGTTTATTATTACGAAGCCAAATAATAATAATAATAAAAATCAGGGAATAGAGCAGTTTTGACTGGTATAATTTTGCGTCGCCTCTCTCCATGATGATCAACCTTGTTCATGCACGCCAGCTACTGGCTGCTACCCACAATGGAGTAACCAGCTAAGTATGGCATAAAGCATCTCAGCCTTTCGATAACAGGCAGCCGTTCAACGCCCTGGCACACCAGACGAATATTGGTATATTGGGATGGGATAGGGTAGTCCATTCGTAGGAAGAAATATATGGTCAGAGAAAAGAGAAACAACACCAAGAAATTTTAAGCAGCCGCCCGAACGCCCAGTATGATGTCACGCAGCAGCACTCGCTGAAGATCTGGAGGCAGAAGAAAAAGAAAGAAGGGAAAAAGGCCCTTGTCCCTTGCGGAGATGCCACTCACAGGCTAGCATTTACCAGCGGAGAGGATTTTGGGTCCAGGATGAATCCAACTTACTCCATATGTCCATTTCGCCAGACTATCAAGGCCGGGTTGCTTAGATTATAACCATCTCGGCGCTTTGATGATCGCAATACAGAGGGCATTGTGTCGAGGAAATTAACCAAGGCGAATAATCGCCAATAAATATGTTCCCCTAGCTAATCTTATACCAATCATTTACGTCATGAATATCAGGAACTTAAGCTGAGCGGGCTATGCCAAAATCAAGCTAACAGGGCCACCGCGCAACGGACTAATAATTAGCGACAAGTTGCAGGGTCGAGAAGAGGTATAGAACGAGTCTATACAAATACCAAGTCGAATAAGGCAGCAAAATAAAAAGCAGATAAAGAGGCGGCCATGTTAGAGCCAACGAACATAAAGCCAACGAGAGAGCTGACGCTGGTGGCACTGCTCTTATTCTTTGTTTGAGCATACGAGAAAAACCTCCACTTTGGTCGGACTTTCAGCTTCTTTTTTTGCAATTTGTTTGCATGTCGAAAAAGGCGAGAGGTCGAGATGTATCGATTTTGTATCAAGGAATCCCCTTTGCCACCCCCTGAAACCGCCGAACCCAAAATATGTACGTTTTGCCCTATATTTTCTTTTTCCTGGTCCTGCTTTCCAATCGAATTCAGTGTGTGTTGGGCTGGGTAAGTAAGTTGGTGGAGACCGGAGACTGTTGAGTAGTATTCAGAGAAAGACGGGAGGCCAAGCAGAGCGCCCGGCTCGTTTTTGCCTTGTGGTTGCTGGCCTCGTAATTGTAATTTAACAGAAGTCGAGTAATCATAATAACTATAGATAAGCGGCGGGAGGTAAGATGAATGGAGGCAATAAGAAGATGCAAGATGGGGGTATGTTGCTATAATAAAAGATGGAGAAAAAGAACCGATATATAACAAAACAGTAAAAAACAATACAAAAAAAAAAGGACGATTAATCCAGAACGACAATGAAAAGAAAGGTGTTAAGAGGGAAAAAACCAGAGAAATCCAATCTGCTAAAAAAATGCAAAACACAATAGCCTCCAGATGCAGTTCAGCTCGGCATATAAACAGTCATACGGTATCGATGATAAGAAAGGTAAAAAAAAAAAAAAAAAAAAAAAAAAAAAAACGGGAGAAGCCGGCAGCAGTCCAATCCAGGGGTGAATAAAACATGTGGAAGAGACGCGGGCATCGAGAAGAAGAGGTAGAAGCCAAAAGGTAGGGGGTCCCTAGTCCAGAGGGCGGCCGCCTTGAAAGAGATGCGTGCGATGTCCAAATGTTGAAAGTGAAAGACCATTCACAGGACAGAAGGCTTGCTTTTTTTTGTAAACACTTTCTTTTTTGGGTATTTTTTTTTATTTCTTTTCTTTTCTCTTTTTTTCCTTTTGTTGGTCTTCTTTTTTGGTTGAATAGTTGCACCCAGGCATGTGTATGTAAGGAGCGTGGTGGTTTGTTTGGTAGTTTTATGCGGAATCCAGTCCCAAAGTCAAGTGTCGTAGATGAATGCTTTTTTTCCCCGGTTGATGTTCAAAAGGGAGACAGAGAGAAGCAAAAAAAAGGCAGAATTAGTTCTCATCATCCTCGTTCTTCTCGTCCAGCCACGCCCGTCGGTAGGCTGGCTGAGAGCGGAATGCAGAGCCAAATGGAGATGGAGAAGCAGGACGGCGTAGGTTGGAGGCCTGTGAAATATATGTTAGCTTTGCTAGTTATATCACAAGAGTAAATCGCAATACAAGAACATACCACACAGGTAGCGCATTTGGCTCCGTCAATGTTGACACGACCACGGCATCCACGAGGGTAGTTGACGCAGGAATACATGATTATCGGCGTAGGTCTCCTTCTTTTGAGAAGAGTAAACTGTCGTGGAATAACAAAAGCCCTTCGCTTTTTGGTGGTGGTCGATGGTTTTGCGCAAAAGCCCGTCCTTCAATCAACCAAGGGGTGTTTTTTCCTTTTCTCTTTCTTTTCTTTCTTCCTCCGGCTATTGATAAATAGACCCAGCTAGCAGGCGGAAGAGCGTCAAAGTATGCTATGCGGTATGCGAATCCAAGGAGCGAATTGAACAAGCAGGGTGCCCGGTAAGCGATTATAAGAGGATTGTATATAAGAAAAGTATTAAACAGCAATTGAGTGAAAGCAGAAGAAAGGAATGGCAACCAGCGAGACGACTGGAGAAGTAGAAGTAGTAGCAGGAAGCAGAAGCAGTCGGGGAAGAAGAAGAAGAAGAAGAAGAAGAGGCGGCCGGAGCAAAGGGGGCAAGACGCAGGTATATAAAGGCAGAAGGGGGGCGGAGACACAGAGCAGCGCAGTAACTAGTTAGCAGTCACAGCAGCAGAGGGAAAGAAAAAGCAAAGAGACGAAAAGAAAAGAAAAAGGGCCAAACAGTTCGGCTGTTTGAGACTTTTGCGAGAGCTTCTTCTTCGTCTTCGTCTTCGTCTCTATCTCTTTTCTGCTGCCTCCAAGGGGACGCTTTTTTGCTTTTGCTTTTCTTTGCTTTTGCGGTTCTCCTGGAGTCAAGGCGGGAATTGCAGTGGATCTCCAGCTCGAGGATCGTACATATAGTACTTAGTTATTGTCAGATGCTAAGATGGCCGCAGCAATATCGATGGTGATAATAATAATATATATATAATATGCACTATAGCCTCTACACGGAGTATGTAGGCGTATGAGTAACAGTGAGCAAGGGAAGAGTGTAGCGTAACCAGCTGTGCATCCAATATATGTCAGTTAAACTTGCAGCGAAAAGGGGGGTTGCAGAGGAGGCGAAAAAGGAGAGCATCCCCGGCCCTTTTTATCTCTTTCCCTGGCCCAGTCACGGCTTAGTACCGTCCGAGATGCTCTCTAAACATGCTTACATGCTGGCGGGCAGAGACAAAAAGCTTGCCCGGTGCTGTCGCTGGCTGGCTGCCATATCCTGCCTGTCACATTCCACCAATCTCTGCATTCCAACAAACCCCGTCTGGTTCCGTAGGATAAAGACGATATCCCTCCTTTTTTTTTTCACACACAGTCTGCGCTATGCCCAACCTGATACGGGACGGAGTACGCCCGGCATCACATTCGCAGGAGAAAGAAGAAAAAAAGGGGGTGGTGGATGTGGGATGTTGCTGTATAACTGAATGGTAATTTGAACATCGCCGTCACCATCACCAGCCAGCCAACCCACTAGTTAGCCGGCCGTCACCAACAAGATAACTACTAATTAGTTTCACTGCTGGGCTGCAGCGGACGAAGAAGAGAAGACGGTGGAAGCGGAGGGAGGCAGCCGCTGACACCGCCCTTTGCACAGCCCTTTCACACCGTCTTTCTTACCCTACCTTTGATACTGCTCCATAGGATTTCAACCAGCAGCCAACGTCTCCCTCGCTTACATACACCCCTCTTGCTCGCTCTCCAGTCACCTCCCCGCCCCATATATCAGCCACATGGATGCACTGCTGGCGATGTCAGGCATCAACAAGGTCCCGTCGTCCTCCTGAAACAGCCGGCGATTCCACCCAAACAGGTTTTTTGTGACGCCTGGGTCGAGTCTGCTGCCATCCTTAACGCTTCTCCGATATAGGCTCAGCAACTGCCCGGCCCTACCTTGTGAACCCGTCGCATATCCAGATCTATATCCTCCGTGCTCCTGATTCCTGGCGCTGTTACAGGCTCGTTGCATGCCAGGAAGTCGTCTGTTTCTTCGCCCGCTGTTCCGGCTCGAACGACTCGATGTCCGCCCGCCCTTTACTCACGGAAATTAATAGGTCTGGTCTCAATTTCAAGAAGTGGGATCAAAGTAAGATTACCCTGTTTTAATTGAAAAAAAAAAAAAAAAAAAAGAAGGAAAGGAAAAAGAAAAGAGAAAACGGTCGACTGGGTCATCTTTCTTAACGGCGCTGGCGCTGGCCTGTCCCGATCTTCGCTCGCAATTGGACCGTCCTTTCGCTGTCATCAAATTAGCGTCGGGCCCGTCTGGCAAAGGAGCGAAGGCGTGAGAAAGGGAAAAGAAAAGTACGAGAAAACGGCGGATCCATCGGCAACAGGGTCCAGACTTGCGTCTTTCTCATCTTTCTGGCGCTTTCGATATCTTTTTTAGTTTTGGTTCCCTTGGATAAGGCAGGTTAGACGAAAGGCAGCAGACACACTAAAAAAGGGAGTAATAAGGGGGGAGGAAGATCTCTTGCAAGATCTAGAAGTGTTCTTTGTTTATACCGAGGCCGACGGATGGCAAAGGCCAGCGAGGCTAGAACTGTTCCTCTCATCTCCCTGGGCGTCCAAGGGGGCCTTTTTTTTCGCCGCTTCTTCCTTCCTTCTTTTTTTTTTTTTTTCGTTTTGCTTCGCTTTGCCCTCAGCCCTGTTTTGCCTTGACGCCCATGCGGGTTCCGAGAACCAGTTTGCAGGTTATACATCTAACGCTGTCCTATATCTGGAACAGGGAACGTGTACACTTTCCTCTGCGCGTAAACCTCGCTCTCTTAATACGATGATGCGCCTCACGAGGCACGCCGTAGCGCCTGCGGTGGTTGGAGATTGGGGTTTGCCAGACTCAAGAATCACTCTGGTTTCATGCTTTTTCTTTCCCTTTCGAGTCATTTCTTTGCCAACAATTCTTGTCCTTCCATCCCACATCCCCCTGGCAATTCGTGTCCCCCGGAAATCACATTGTACGGTACCAAGCCTTGTCTTGACAAATGATGCCATTGCCATGTCATCAGTGCCGGATGAGAATAAAGGCACCGGTTCCCGGTCGTCGTCAGCATGGGGGGGCGGCAGGATGCGTTGTTGGAATTGGTTAAGACTACCCAGAGCCAGGCCCAAGCAAAGAAGACAAACAGAAAATGTCTTTTTAAGCTTATTCATTTGGCTCAGCGATGCGCATCAACAGGGCAGGGTAGTTAGCGGTCGCTTTTGTTTTTCTTCATCCTCTTCTTTTCTTTTCTCATCTTCCACAATTCTGGCTGCAGCTGGATTATTAATAACTGTGACTTGCATGAGATCAGAATCATTCTCCCTGCATTTCCTCCGTCATTGTGCATAATATGCAAGTACGTAAGGAGAAATAAATATCAATATCCCAGCTAACACATGTACGCGGTTTTTCTATGTGCAGTTGCACTCCGTACGAAGCAACTCTTGGCTTCCGCCTTTTTGGGTCATCCCCCTCCTCCTCCCCATAATCCTTGGGTGGATTCAAGTTGAAAATAATGCAGGTTGGGCATCACCCCAAGCCACGATCAACGGCTTTTCTCTGAGGGGTGCTGCAGTTCGTTCATCACCTTTCATTTTATTTCTTTTTTTTTTTTTTTTTTTTTTTTTTTTTCTTAGGCTAAGTGCCGTGAGAAGTCCGTTTTTTTCCACGGCGTATCAGCCTCGATGAATGAAAATAGGGGCAAGATAAAGAAGAGAGCGGGGTAGGGGCAGTTAAATGACCCCTTTTTTCCGCTGTCTTGTCCTCGTTCTTTGACGAAGGGAGATCATGTCTGCAGGGAAATAGCGTCGTGAGTGATAATATACCAACCTAGCTTTATCGGTAGAGAGGGGACCACGAACCGCGGAGAATCTCGAATAATGGTAAAGTTGCTCCGGAATCCTGTTAAACACGGAGTAACTATGCGCCTTGTGTGAAGAAAATAATGTGAAGCCTTCCACTACTCCGGGCATGCTGAGGCTGGTCAGCCCCCAATGCATGATGCAGTCAGCCAAGACAGGAGTACAGCAAAGAGCCGTCAAGGGTATCACAGAATATACCCAACAATCTCTCTTCACACGTACACTTTTTTTTTCGCTTTTTGCTTTTCACGATATCGGCAAATACGCTGCGCCTGTACTATCCCGACTCTGATTCTCATCGCGTAATGGAACGAAATCCCGAGAATGACCATTAATGGAGAGGTTGGGCAGCAAGCCTCCAGCACTATTGCGGACGGGAAAGCCGCAAGCTTGCTGCGAGGTTGCTTTCTTTCTTTTTTCACCCACCTTTTCCCTTCGCTTTCTAGTTACTTTGTTCCGTTCTTTGGTTTCGATTCTTTGGCTACCTCTTCTCTGACGGAGAAGCTTAAAATATAGAGACAAAGCTTCTGTGCCTGCTGTCCTTCCGCGTATTTCTTGTTGCCTGAAGAACTGACTGGCCAGATGCACATGTCTCGTCTTTCCTGCTTGGTTGGTGGTTAACATCAGTGGTAGTCTCCGTAAGCTATGGAGTATGGATCGGAGATGCTCTATAGCGTGTGTAAAAGAACTCAAGCAACAGTACTAGGCAGAGAATAGCGTTTGACTCCGTACTCTGGCCGCTGTTGGGATGGGGCGCCTGGCATGTTGCAGGATGGGTCTTCCATTTCGCTTTCGTATACTCCGTACTAGTTTAACTAATCAGCTCTGCAGGCGAGGTGGGTTCACTTCCCTTGCAACAGTGTTTTGTATTTTCATCGTGTAAAGCTGTCTCATCCCTTGGACATCTCGCATAGTGGCTCAATGGTAACATCTCCGTCGTCTTGTCTGAAGTTGATGTTCGTCTCGTTTCCGGCTTCTCTCCCCCTCCCCTTTTTCTTGCTTGCCGATGAGATCACGAGACGCCTTCGCCTGGCCGAAAGAGGAAAAAACCGACGACCTCAACTTCGAGTATGCCAAAAGCCTCTGCTCACCACCCAACTGCCGGCCAACTGACGGCGCGAGCCACTTAACCGCAGTGGTGTGCAGATGGGGACGGGTAGCGGGAAGCGGAAGACGGGAGAAAGCGCGCAAGGCGAACAAAAAACAGGGGGCCAGGACGAGTTTTTCACGTCACTCTCACTTCACAGCCCATCCCTGGAGGTCACCCGGCCAGCAAAGAACCTCGCGCGTTTTCGTACGAGACGAACCATACCAGCATGGACCTCGGGATGTTTTCTGCTGATATGAAGCGGCTCTACAGTCGTCAGTCTCTCGGCCACTCATGTAGGGGGTCTGGGACGATCCTATATGCGCTGTATTGGCTAATATACCCTCAAGTTTGGCCGTCATGGAGTCAGTCATGCGCACGCGCAAGGAGACCAAAACAGAAGAGGGGAGAAAATGTCCCTGCCAACTCGCTCTCACTATCTCCCTCCTCTTTTCCCTTCCCCCCTTTTTGAGCGGGTCCAATCCGAGAATATTCACAAAGCAAGAAACTACACAAGTATGCGCCTTCTGTTCCATGAGCTTCAGAAGCCATGGACGGCACTTGCCATGCATTTGATACCCATCTTTGGTTGTTTATTTACATCGTGATATTTACCTGCCGATGCAGAAGCAACGACTGTCTCCGTGCTTACTCTTCGAGTCTGCGAGAAGTAAACATCCCAATCCAGGTGGAGGAAGAAAAACGCAGTTTTTCTTCATGAAGCCCAAATATTACAGCGCATAGTTTTTCTGTATATCCTTTTATCAAATACTCAGGTTTGCATTGGTTTACAAAAAAAGCGTTAAAGCATTGGAATAATATCGCAGAGATCCAATACGTGACCATAAGCAATAATGTTTTCCAACAACTCAAGTGGAAATAAGAGAGTCCGGAGGTCAAAGTCTTCAGCTTCAGTGCAGAACCGTCGGCCGGCTATGTCAGAGGCTTTCGATTCTGAACTGGCGCAGCTACAAGCTTTGGCAGCGGCATCTCTAGCTATGCGGCGTCATGATAACCGGCCTTCTTCTAGCTTGTCAAGTTCCAAGAAGTGGTATGATCATTCGTCCAGCACGGATGGTAGCTATCACCAACAACCCCTTTCTCAACCCAGCGATACAAAAGATGAGAGTGAGAGTTACTGCCCTACAAGCGCCACCGAGTCGACTATACTTCCACGAATGTCCGAATCGTCCGGAGTCATGGAACAGAATAGGCCGACTATCTGCCCAGCGTCGCCGCGTCCATCCTCCTACAGGAGACTTCGGAAATCGAAATCCATGTTTACCACCTCCCACGAGTCTGAGCGGTTGTGTCATGGATCTGGCAACAACCAGAGAACAAGTTCAGGAACAAGCCGTCTCTCCCGCCGTACCCTTCGAAGGTCCTTGTCCTTTTTTAGGGGAAGTAGCATATCAAAAGCCGATAAGGAAAACCATGCAACAGTCTCCACTTTACCAATTGAACTTGCTAGAGAACAATTCCAAAGGTCTATGGAAGAAAAGCGTGTAGCGAATGGATCAGAGTCAATTGTTACCCGCAGTTCTCGGCAAGTGCCAAAGCCTTTCAAAAAGTCCATGAGGTCAAACGGAACGAATGCTGGATCTACTACCCCCTCGAGATATGCATCTACTGGCACCCACTGTGGGCCTAAGGCCCGTCTGTTCTCGTTTTCGATTAAGAATAGCATTCGTCGGATTTTCGGGAGACGGCTATCAAGTAGCCGGGAAGAGTTACCAAAGCAGCATGGAGCCCACCACGATTTTGGCTCTTTTGACGTCGGATCTTCCGAGGACTCTTACTTTGATGAATCTTCCGACTATGCTAAATACCAGGAACAGCTACTGTCGCAAAATGCAGCTAATACGGCCCAAAGTGTTCGATCCATGAAGAGCTGCTCGAGTATGGCCACCTCCAACTCGCGCGTTACAAGCTGGACGGACTCAACGGCTGGTAATACACTAACTATGAAACAGTTTCCTCCATTGACTCGGCAGGGCTTGGATATCATTCGTGAAGATAGTGATGTGTACACGCCTACTCCTTCTCCAGGCCGACACCGGCATGATGGGTACTCTATTTTCCGGCAACCCCTTGACAATACGGTTGACATTGATAGCCAACGGATGTTCTCTGCCCTCATGCGGAACATTGATGAGACTAAGAACAAAAGGAAAGCTAACCAAGCTCCACTAACCAAGTCAAAGGCCAGGTCAAGCCATGATTCGTCTACGAATGGTTCTCCCCTGACTATTAGAGCAGTCAAGCAATCACCTAACGCACCCTCCGCAAGGCAGTCGATGTCTGGCTCTAGGGCATCCCCGAGTTCCCGCAGTCTCTTCTCAGTGAGATCAAGCCGCACTGTTAAACTAACTCCACAGGAGATTGCTCGCAAAAATGAGATGGTTTCTAGAAAGCGGTCTGACCAGACAATTCGCGGCTTGGGTCGTTTAGATCTATCAGGCACATCTATCTCCGAAAACAAGCCCACGGGAGAATGGCAAACCGAGCAGTTAGAACTGCGGGATGACTCTGGGAGCGTGATCATCAATAGATCTCAAGAGGATGGAGATATTCCACCCTCACCGAGTGTTTATTCAAGGACAACAGAAGTGAGGTCCCCATACAGACTGAATGTTGACTCTTCAGACTCTGATGAGGAAGAACCTGGTACTGTTACAATTCTTGATAGCCAGCGTCTACCATACCCTCCCAGACGTAGCAGTCAGGCCGCGAGAGGAATCAGCAGCGACTGGAAAACATGGATGAACTCTCAGATGGATTTGATTGACGCTGCTGCCCGTTCGGCAAGTTTAGCAAACCCTAATTACGCTCTTCCTGGTCACTACCGAGAAGATACCCAAATCAATGGCCCAAGCCCGGAGGAGCTGAAGCGCGTGGTACTAGCTCGTCGCAAGCAGTCATCTCGCGGAGTACCAAGTCCCAGCAGTACCGCTGGCGGAAGATCTACCAATGGTGACCCCAGGACAAACATAACAGAAGCACTCTCTATACCAAACAATAATTTTTCACGCCCACTGCGCAGTTCGCCAAATGGCAATCTGTCAGCTTGCAGCACGGTAGTTCGAAAACCATCTATAACGACCTCAGCAATTCGTCACCCGTGTACTCCACTGATATGTGATAGTGAAATGACTCCATCGCCACTATCGGTCCGAGCTAGGAGTATGTCAAGGACACCAACAACCGCCGCTGTTCCTCCTCTACAGTACAATAAAACACGGCCAGCCGGAGATGGCGCTATCTTGGAAGACTCCTCGCTTATGAATAGCGGGCAATCTTCTCAAGGCCAATCTGGGTCTTCAGTGTCACCTATATGTCTGAATGATGGTAAAAGTCTACTTCAAGAAATCCAGTTCAATTCCGTGCGCCCAAGGCGTGAGCAGACGAATGGTACCAAAGAAAACAAATGGACTTCTGCTTCGTACCGCCAAAATGGCCGCCCGAATTATGCGTCAAAACTCAACGGCCTTCATAGTACGATTAGTACCAAGCGTATGGTGGACATATTCTTAAGTGAGCGAAGTCAGCCGCCAAGGGGCAGTGCGGATGATAGTGCTCCTGAGCCAGCATTTTTATAAAACTGAAGAAACCATCGGATTCTATTTTGCGTAGCTCACCCTGGGTTCTTTGACCATCCCTTTTGTTGTGTTGGAATAAAGATAGTGCGTACAAGATAGCAGGAATTGCTATCTTTTCTTAGGTGTAAGATTAAGTCCTGCATACCTCAATCAGTATATTTACCAAGCCTTCTTGTGTCCCTAAGTTAATAGTGGACGTAAATATATCCTGTAATGGTTACATTTCATTTTATATGATGACGACTAATGTAGGTAACTTTCGTGCATATCTGCCATTGAATATATGCAACCAGGAACTATCAGCACGCAACAGTAAATTTATGTCGGAGAAATGGCCCATATATATATCTGCGATGGTAAACTTAGCAAAGATTATTCAGGATGACAAGATCCTAAGCAGAAAAGGGAAACATAATTATTCCATGAAGTATGCGAAGTATCCAGTAAGGAGGCCCAATTGACCAAAAAAACAACAAAGGTCGAAATCAGTGCAGTGTAGTGTGTATTCATGCAAATCATTTTTTATGCTTTTATATCTCGATAAATATTCGAGTCAAGAACAGTAGTTTGCAGGGAAGCTTCCCCTGACACCACGTAGTTCTCCCTGCCACCAGTCATCTGTACTGTCAGTTTTCTTGATGACGCGGATCCGGTCGCCTTCCTTGAAGACGAGATCGCCAGCTCCTTGACCGCCAAAGTCGTAGAGTGCAGTGACAAACTGTATCTGGCTGGAAGAAGCTGACCGTGGTGGAGGTGGAGGTGGGGGTTTCTTCTTTGCGGCCGCAGCTGCAAGAGATGCTATTCCGCCCATCGAAGGGGCTGCGGCCTGTGTTGGTTTCGTACTGGTGGGTATTGGAGGAATATAATGGGGTGTGTTGTGGGGAGGTGTAGGAGCAGGAGCAAGGTGGTGGACGCTATTGTTATTATTTGGAGACTCGTGTGCTGGTTGTTCCGACGCAGACTGGCTGTCCAGCTGCGATGACGATGTATAGCGGCCGATTCGGGGACGGGAATCCATGGATGAAGCAGAGGGTAGGCGAGAAAGCGAGTTGGGCGAAGTAGACGGCTTGCGCAACGTACCGCCGGCACCGATAACTGGACGACCGTTTGAAGAGGGGTGGTTCCCGTTCCTTTGGTCTCCAGATGTCCGTGGCTGGCGGGCTGTTTTACCGCCGGCAACACAATTGAAGCTTTCTATCTCACGTTGCACGCTGAGAAACCCATCTTCGAATGTCCGGATGATATCCTCCATTGGCGGCGGTGGAGATGGGAGCTGTTGCTCTTCACAGTATGTGTGAAGGACGGTATAGTAGAGAGCGAGCAATGTGTTTTGAATCTCAATCTGTGCACCAAGAAGATGAGGGAGGATAGAAAAAGTGGCTGTTATTATCCCAGGGAGGACAGAGCGTAGATGGTCGTCTGCAGCGTTATAATCCTAGGAATATCAAGTTAGATACCAGCTTCGTTGCAAAGAAAGAGGGAGGACTGCTTACATCCGTAGCCTTGGATAGATCCGCCTCTGCCTTTGCTAGAGCAGCATTGTCTCTGTCAGAGCGCTTCGTCTTCTTCCTCGAGGAGTCTACTCGACCCTGATATCTTTCAAAATCCAGCTATATAGACCAGTTAGTTAGCTCAACGCACACAGTATCCTGGCAGACACTCTTCTCAACGCATGCGTACCTTTTTATCCTCTCGTTTCTTGATCACTTTCTTAAGCGGCTGCAGATACTCTCTTGCGTCCATGGCTGGCCGAATAATCCGGTCATCAACCGCACTCACTTCGGCGACCAGGTCTGCCTTTAAAGAGTCATACTCCTCTCTCAATCGGACCACGCGGTGTAGGGTATGTTCGGGGACGACCGCAGGGGTATGGTCTGACGACGGCTCCGATGCGCCAACGATAGGGTTGTATAGCTGCTCGAACTCCTGGACAAGGCGAGCCTGGTAGGTGAAGATCGAAGACCACGCATCGCGCCATGCTTTGCTCGATTCGATGATCTAGTTGAGATGTCCATCAGATTCAGCTGCAACAAGGACAGACGCCCGGTCAACCAGGATATAAGTAGCAAGCAAAGAAGATCATACCTTCTGGAGCAGCTTATCGGCATCATCGAAGTCCTTGAGCAGAACAGAGACCTGGCTCTCGTCCGCCGAACGCTTCATGAACTTGCCAAACTGGCGATTGATGTTGAGCATGGTGGCGGTTCTTGCGAGATCACTAGCTAGTTAACGCAACTGAAAAAAGGGATCCAAAGGGTAGGCTTCAGGCTTCGTCCCGCCGTCCGCTGATGGTCTGCGGTCCAGTCTAGCTAACTAGTCAACTAGTTACCAGGCAGGCCAGCGAGATGGCACGAACCGAGTCTGGAACCCAGCTCTCCAGGGGGGAAAAAGAGGTGGCAGTGGAGGAGGAGACAAGGAAGAAAAATTTAGCTAACTCGTCAACTAGTTAATTAATCTCAAGCATGCGCACGGCGGGGTCTGGCATGGACGAAGAAAAGGGCTCCCGGGATGCAGAGCCACGCTGCGCTCCGCCATGTGTAGATAGATGGCTGTCCTCTAGCAGGGAGGAAAAGGAGAGAGAGTAAGTACGAGAAGAAGAAGAAGAAGAAGAAACCTGCTGCGTCACAGGGTCAAGGGCGAGCCCATCCCTGCTGTTTCATCAGCTCCAGCACCGCCCTCTGTGCGACTTGTTGGATCCCACTTTAACTAACTTATACCTGCAGGAAAAAGGACTGTATAGACCGGGCGATTACGCGTTAATGAGCTAGTTAACTAGTTGCTAGCTGCTCTGCCTAAGCATACATACGCCAAGTGGTGGAGTGCCGTCGACATGGACCTGATAGCTAGGGACTGTCTTTCTGGAAGAGTATATTCTATCGTCTAGGCTGCATGGAGTGCTTGCTACATGCTTGCATGGGATACACAGTTGAAGGGAAGAAAAGCTCTGCTTTCCTCCTAACTAGCAGTTGAGGCCTTGTCTCCGTAATTCCATGCAATCCGTGGCTCGCCTTCACCCGAAACCCTGCGCTGCCCAAGCATTCTGGCAGATTTCTCTAAAGTCGGCCCTTGTGATAACGATGTCCCCTTCGTTAACCTCGTTCCTCTGCCGGCCGATGACCTCCTCAAAGGTGAAGGTCATGTCACCAGTGACTTCGGTGGTATCCTCCTTGCGAGTTGCCATAACCTCCTCCTCGACAACAATGGGGGCAGTTCGTCCGTCAGCCTCCCTTGTCCACTTACGGAAAACGATACAGGGGGCTTTCTGGTCGATTCTTGCGGTAACGATTACTCGGGTTTCTGATCCATCTGTCTCTAACCACCCTCTAGCATCCATGGATAGCTTTTCCCCCGCTTCCGGCGGTCCAGTCTCAACGACTACCGACGGCCATTCTTGATGGAATGGTCTGAGGCTACCGTCTGGCTCCTTGACGAATCTTCCCTTCTTGCTAGTGACTCGGCTGCTACGAGTATCGGCCAGCCTGTCTGGGAGGCCCATTGATTGCGTGTGGAGGAGGGACCAGCAGCGCTGTGCTCCTGTTGTTCGTCCGTGTCGGTGAGCGGTGGTGCAGCTGCACGAGGATTCGCTGGAATATCTACCCCAACCCTGATGTAAAAGATCAGGTCGCTCGCGACGGATTCATGGCCAGGATTCAACAGTGTTTTGAGAATTAATAGTCTTTCTGGTAGGTTGGCCGTAATTCGAGGTCCTTTATCGAGATACTCGGAATCGAAGTCTTCGAGTATAGTTGGAGGCACGTCTACCACCACGAGAAAGGGATCCTGAATATCATCTTCATAACACTCCTCCACTGCTGCCCTGAGGTCCTTCATATTGGTATATCTGATCTGGCGTGTTCCTCCAGGAAGCCCGGTCAATAGCCTTAAACAGGCATGACGTTGGGGTAGCGTTGCCTCATCTGAATCAGACATGGCAGGCTTGCAACATAGATATATATATAACACAGTATGAACACATATAACAAGGTAACTAAGTAGTGGGTAGGAGTTGATCGAACGGAGCATATTTATACACAGCTCAAAGTTATGACATCAAAACTCAAAATACCCAATATTGAATACTCCCTCATTCACACCCTATCACTGCGCCTAAAGAGGGCTAAAGTGACTTCAAACAGGATAACTGTATAGTGAATATATCAAGAATACTCTTAGTGTTCTATATTTACCTTACTGGGAGGTCACATCAAGCAGTAGACAAAAGCGAGTCCCTACAGTAAAGGACAACTGCGTGACGTTTCTATCAAACAGCGAGAATAGAAACCGGACAGAGTAACCACAGATGTACAATCCAGCTGTCGACGTGTTCTCACGTCTATCGAACTGATTCCCGCTCCCGTTCATGGCCCCCAAGCTAGGGACGGGGATCTAACTAACGGCCCCGAACTCTATCATAATTCTCCGTCCTGGGCCTTGTTTAGTGGATATGAAGATCCAGACCAGGTTGACGACCAAGAACAGCCACGCAGACCGTTTGCATCAGCTGTATATTCACTCTTCGCATCGAAAAATAGCCAGAATCTCGCATTTTTCATTCTTTAACAAGTCGTTGAAGTCGCAATTTTCCTTCTTTGGACTCGAATAACACCGCTTAATAATCAGAATGTTATCGATAAGAAGATATTATGACTAAGCAGAAATCACGCGTTGACGCGTTTTAAACTCAAAGAGGAAAGTTTTGATGTCGAGGCAGCCTTTTTTTGCATTAAAAACTGTCAGAACAGAGACACCATCAAAGAGGAAGATTATCCGGGGGGCAGGACAAGGATATGAGGAGGCGGATGCACGAATATATAATACCAGGCGTCGAGACTGGGCCATGGCTTCTCAGAGAATGAGCCTTTCGGTCCCGCCAACTCAGAATACCGCGCCGGTGATTAAATTCCAATGCCTCTTCACCCACGATATCAGGCGGAAAGCGAAAAGGTGGCAGGATGGATTTCTCCGGTTTCATACGTTCAACAAACGCGTTATGGTCTATGACCCCACCGGGAACCTGGTTGGGGACTTGCACTGGCGAGATCGTGATATGCTGCAGGATGGGGATGAATTCGAGCTGGAGAGAGGTATCCTGGTCCAAGCTGGCGAGCAACTCGAGAGTACGGTGACCGATTTGACAGGGCTGCTGGAGAAACGGAAGTCATCCCCTGCTAAACCGAACCACTCTCAATCCCGCCCAAGGAATGCCAATGTTGGGCGGCCGAACGATTTCAAAGCTCCTTTTCCATCCAGCGGCTCGAGTATGAAGTCTTTAAACGAGGTGCTTGGAATTAAGAAGAATACGCAACCAACAAGAGTGATAAGGTCTCCCTATGAAGAACGGGAACGATTAAACAAAAGCATGTGTGAATCTGAGGAGAGACCGGCTAAGAAGCGGAAACCATCTCCCGAGCGTGACACGGAGGAGGCTTCTCGACTGTCCCCTTCACCGCCACTGCCGCCGACAAAGGGTCTTAAAAACCAATTAAGACCTAACGTGGAAGAACCGGTTACTAATAGCAAATCTCGCGAAACCTCTGGTGCTGAACCTCGTGTTCCCGGTGGGGTTACAGACCTATGCAATAAGATATTAAATGAAAGCAACCGCCCTGGTTTTGCATCGGCCTCGACTGCATCATTCCGGCCCGCGAGTGCAGTTGAGCCAGAGCCAATCTCTACAAAGGACCGTCGAAAAAAGTCCAGTGGTAAAGCGTCAGCGAATCAAATGTCTCTCACATCTATGTTTGGCAATGTCCCAACGACGACTCTTGAAGTTGCGCCCAGGCGACCTCGCAACCAACTTATCTTTGTGGACAAGCTTGCAGAACAACAAGCCAAAGCAAGAGAGAAGAGAAAACTCGCCGAAAATAATACAGTTATGAACTCAGAATCATCCAAGAGAGCGGATACCCTGAAATCTCAATCGGCCTTGAAGCCAAGGGATAAGAATATAACCTCATGCCAATCTACAGCACAATTGTCTAAAGATGAGAGTAATGACGGTGAGACCCCTCGTGTGCAACAAAAGGCAACGGGCTTACTGGGATTTTTCAAGCCAGCTGCGGTTACGACCCAAGAACAAGAGATTCAGCATGATGGAGATGAGGCTACTGTAGCAGAGCCAAAACCTTCTAAGCCTATGCAGAATATGCAGCGGAGTCTTTCAGCTATAGATTCTATGTCTGTGGATACTACAAGTTCAACCAAACCTCCGGTTCTGGAGGCGCCTGCCCCTCATATCGAACCCAGCGAACAGAATGCACAGCTAGAAAAGCATCGGCCCCTAGAGAGGTCAAACTCAGATTCGTCAGCCCTAAACCCACCACGATCTGTGCCCAAAAAGCGAGTTATTCAAACAAGGCTTTTTCCGGATCGGATGCTAAGCCTACCAGCAATGGATGAACCAGAGGTTGAAATTGAACAAGGGCCCTGGACATCTGAAGCACTAGATCTGTTCGACTGGTGGCCCCCAGATAGACCTAAGCCCACAGTTGGAAGCATCCCTATATAAAACTGAAATCACTGTAGTTATTTTTGACCCAGACATGTATCTTATGATTAATGATAGAATATATAATACCCCTCTTTAGACGTCTTCCTTCGATAATATAGTATTGCTCCTTGTATTCCCGGGAACTATACCCAAGCATTGTATAACTATGCAAAACATAAAATTTAGACATAGATATGACGCTTCATCCTCGTTTGACTAGAGTTCCAGAGATGTAAGGCAATGGCCCTGAAGTAAACGATAGTTCTAGGTCAACGCTCCCCCAGCCACCGTCAACATCAGCAACAGCTCGAAGCGTGCGCTCTGTGTCTCTGTCCAAGTTGCATCCACCCATGAAGAAACTCCAGCCTGAAAGGCCATACATAGCCTGGACAAATCTTGCAACCCAGCTTCCTTTAGCTGTGGTCCAGGGATTCACAACATGTTCGCAAACCAGCATCTTCCCGCCCGGTTTGAGCAGGTCATAAAGACCCTTTACCGTCTTTTCTGGCGCTGGAACCGAACACAATACTCGAACACAAACGATAGTATCAAAAAGACCTTTCCCCTCATTGGTCTCGTCATCGAGTGCCCCGGCCTTCTTCAACGCCGGAAGTAGAGACTCAGGCTGGGCTCCACAGTGCAGAACTCGGTATTTAGATGCTAGACCGCAAGATTCAACCTTAGCATAAAGGTCCTTGTGCAATCCTAGGCATGGCTCTGCGCCATACAAGACCCGTAAATTCGGGTTTGTGAAGAGCGGCGTCTGGGTCCCGGTTCCAGGGCCGATGTCGAGAACAACCCCATCCGCATGCGCGAGAAGTGGTGGTATAAGAAGACTAGAGCCAGCGGGCTCTGGAGCGGGCGCATTTGGATCCCCGTTTGCTCTAGCAGTTGAGAAGTCGATCCAGAACCTTGAAAAGGCCTCATCTTTGATCTCTTGCATATTGAATATAGGTGCGAGTAGCTGGCCACGCAGGATAGTTTCCAGCATCACCGTCATAAAGCCTAGATGCACGGTCAATACACTGCGTAAGACGGGCCTTTCCATCACGTACAAGGGATTCAATCATGTTTTTCTACTTACTGTAGGCAGCTGAGACGCCTAGGTAGCCTGGTTCTGCAAGCTCATTTATACGCTCAACAAGAGTCGGCATGTTTGGTTATCGGGAACTCGTTATACCAGATATAGAGCTAGTCCAATAACCCAGATAAAGTGAAAGGAATGTGTCCAAGTATGGATTGGAGATTATGAGGAAACAAGCCTGGCTAAATAACCAACTTAATGTTCGGGGTCCGTGGCTGCTTTTATATGCACGGAAAGGGCAAGGTTTCGGGAACTCGGGTAACTACTCCATATGTAGTTTGTCATCGGAGCCGACTATTTAGTGAACCATTGGTTGACAACATCTTGAATTTGACAGCAGGATACGGCTTCTGCGGCTTTGAAACCCGCAGAGGTCTCATACAACCTCCTCTATACTTGGCTTGCACAGGGAACTACAGTCTACAGCAAAGCGTCCACTTCTGCCGTGGCAAATAATTTCATGTAAATGCAAACTAGTTCATTGTCTTAACCCGTATCGCTGCGAAACCAAAGCACAAAAGCCAGAGAGTTTATTGATATTTGTTTAGTTAGGTACGTTTAGGATGGGAGAAGATAGAGAGATGTTTGAGACGAGTCGAAGAAGCCGGGAACGAAACAGACAGGACAGGGTAAAGATTAGTAGTTATAACAGTCCACCTTGCAAAGTGAAGGGAGGAGGGCATGCATAAGTAAATCAAAGAGAGAGCAAGCGGTCCAAGAAACAAGAACTTGGCCAATCTGACATAGGAAACAAGTGTAAATAAAACACAAAGAAAGCTAATTGCCAAACAGCAACGAAACAAATCTGCAAAGCGAAAGAAGTATTCACAGCTGCGCAAAAAAATAAAATAATAAAATAAAAGAATTTGGAGCAGGAAAAGGGTAATGGCCGGGTAGCGGTGGCAGAACGATCGAACGAGAAATTGGTACATAATTGCGAGGAGGAAGGGGGGGGGGATTCCGCCATGTTCAAAGGTGGAGGTATAAATATAAGCACCAAGGAGAGCAATGCTCGAACACCAGGCGCACAGTACACCATCCTGCAAAACAATTAGCGTAACAAGTCAGGAAAGGGTCAAGGCCAAGGTAGACCAAAACATAAATATGAAGGGAAGATAAGGAAGAAGTAAGCATGGCCAAGTATTACAAAGCTATTGTAGAGTGAAGATGCGGCATGATAGCCAGACACGTCATGAATGAAGACCAGTTAAGGAAATTCGTAAAAGGTGGACAATCACCAAGGGTTGGGACTTTTTGCTGCTTTTAGTACTCCACGTTCATGGGGAGATAGTAATAGGTATCATTTGCAGAAATGTTCTTTTCTATAAGCATAGGTTGGGCGGACGGTCAACCTAGGAATGCGAGTGATTGCTCAGCCTTGAATTGACGAAGCGGCTGGTTCTTGAAAGGGAGCCAACATCATGTTTGCCTAAGGAGAAGTTAGCACAAGAGAAAAAGGAAATACCAAAAAGGGGTGGAAATCAATATTACCGTCACAGCAAGCGCGGACATTCTCTATTTTATCAGCCTCTCTTTCCTGTCTTTCTAAGATACGTCTCAGATCTTCGGCGCTGTCCTCTTGGCTCGTATCGTCTACACTTCCCCGCTTGCCACCATACCGACTTCGGCGGCTGGAGAACGTTCCCATCATCCCGGAGGTTTTGAACATACTGCTTAATCTCGACACGGAGCCTTGCCGGGCCTGTTCAGCCTTCATGGTAGTATCAGGCGGTCGGACCGAAAGAGATGGCGATTCATGGCCGGGAGTTATATCGTAGCCACGGGCCATACCTCGGGCTGCTCTGCTGCTATGTGAAGCGGCAGACCGTCGGGAGTAGTCAGTCATGCGAGATGACCGGCCGTTTAAAGAAGGGTTGAAGTCGAGTGGGCCATCTTCTGGTGTGCTATGCAGAACAAAATCCCCTTCTTCTTCGTTTGCCCGCAAGAGGAGGTATGAAAGTGCGTTGAACCAAGTCTCATGGCGTTGGCTGGTGGCAGCAGTGAACCGCATGGTTCTACCGGGAGTAACGACTTCCAAGCTCTTGCGGTGAAGGCCCGGGGGATATGGGTTATCGTCAGTGACAACCCGGACAGCTTCAATGGCTACGCTTTTGGCCATCAACTGAGCTTTGCTGGCAGTCTGCGGGCTCTGGGTGCTCCAGTACAAAGTCCTGGTGAATGGATGGACCCAGAAGTATCGTCTATGTCTTGTCTGCGAGAAGTCTGGTCGGCCTGGCTTGCGAGTGTATTTCCAGAGGAACTCTCCAATCATGGTCTGCGTGATGGCTTGGATCATGCGAGGATCAGTGCCAGGTTCAAAGCCGTATTCCGACCTTGACAGATTGAACCGGTCATCAAGCTCGGAGGCAAACGAAGAAATCGAAGACCGTCGGGAAGCTGCACCACTGTGCTTGTGCTGAGTTTTTGACCCATTGCTTCCTTGAACAGTGGCGGTCCCCATAGCTTGTTCGTTGGGTGTCCTTGGTCGAGATGCAGGAACTCCTGATCGATAGGCAGAGGCCGGAGCTACTGGAGGCCCCATGGTACCGGCACCACCTGTTGGGCTCTCAGTTGATAACCTCTGAGCGGCAGCAGCAATCGCTTGCTTGTGGTCTGGCGGAAGAGGCGGGTGAACCATAGCACTGCGTCGGCTTCCTGCGCTCCCAGGCCGTTTGGCGGCAGCGTTGGGAAGCAGGAAATTGTCGTTGGCCGATGACGGCTGTGTCTTGGCTCTAGGGGTAGCCAAGGCAGCTTCCTCTAATGAGCCAGGGAATGCAGGGACTGGTGCTCTCGACTCTGGCGTCTTTGGTGGTGGCATGACATATTTGTCTAGCAGGAGAGAATCGATCTGCTTGCTGGTCAAGATAGTCTGAGCTCCATTCTCTGTGACACTGACAGGTGCAAATGAATGTAATGGTTGTTCAGACTTCATGGAGCCGGTATCCTCCGTAACGAACTTGGGCGGCGGCATCATTTCGCGTGATGATTCCAAGGATGAGGGAACTTCTGTATCCTTATCATGGACAGCAGTTCTCGGTCTTCTTGGAGAAGTCTCTGTCTCTGAGCCTGTACCTAAAGCAACTACCGGTGGAATAACCGTAGACGCGGGCTCTGGTACGACTGGTGTAGTAGACTCAGCATAGATCGACGACATCTCTAGCTGGATGGATGGCTTGACAACTTCAGGTTGAGTGGGAGGAGAAATTGGTGGTGTGTCGATGGTTTGAATAGAAGATGCCATGTATTTTGGTGGAGTGCAAGGAACCGGGAGAGCAGCCGGGATTGGAAGAGGAGTGACGGGACGGCATTGCTCAAATGTAACATCAGAAAAGGCGAGTTGCATTGAGTTTCGTCGCGGCTGTTCAACAACAGGTGCCAGAACAGGGGTCGTTTCTTCGAACACTATTGGTGAACGTTCCAGTTTGATGGGCTCTGGGGCCGGTTCTGGATCAGGAGACGACGAAGCTATAGGAAGAGGAACGGGGATTGGTGCGATAATATCGCGGGATCTATCCTCCTCGGCGGGTGTGGCAACTGGAGGAGAATCGAACATGACCATCGCTTCGCTTTGTACCATGGCTTGAGGCTTTGCAGATGCATACTGAGTTGCCATGTCCACTGCGGTAAACTTTGAAGGTTCCGCCGGCGGTGTATCATGGATAACTACAGGCGCACTTTGAGCCATTGGTTGAGATTTGACAGGGGAGCATTGGGTTGCCATATCTACTGATTTGATAGGCTCTGAAGGAAGAGTGTTGAAGACAACCATTGCCTCAGTCTGGGTAATAGGATGTTTCGAATCAATAGACTGAGTTGAACTGTCGACGAGGACTGCAGATGTTGTGGATGTTGTTGCATTAACGGTCTGAGGAGCAAGAGTCTGTGTGGCTACAGTTCCACTTGCAGGAGCAGGAGCAGGCCATGGCTCAGTCATCATGGAGGAGTCGACCATGGCTACACGAGGTGGCTGGTCGACATCTTTATTTTGCAAGAAGCTGAGATTGCGAATAGGGGTAGATTCAGCTGAGACAGGGTTATTGTTGGGCTGTTGCAGCGGGCTCCCGAATTCACCGTCACTGCCCATGCCGGCTTCACCAAGCTCTGCAAAGAGGCTTCGTCCGCCCTCAACTCTAGATTTGGGACTATGCAGGCTACCGCCGGGAGATTGGGTTTCGTAGCCCATACTTCCGCCCGCCTGGATCGTCTCTTCGGACGACCTTGCGTGTCTGCCCCTTTGCACCTTCAAGCGGTAGCGAGGCGGATGGGATTGCACAGGCGTATGCACCTCATTGTAGGGGTAATCATCCTCATCAGCGGATGTGGATGCGGTGCTCATGAACGAAGAGCGATCGCCAGCCTTTGCATTCCTGAGTTTATATGGCTTTGTGCGAGGTAATGCAATCTGTCCAACTGCGCGGCCTTCCGTTTCTGTGAGCTCGTCGCTGCTGTCTCCCGCCATGTCCTCGGTGCCTGTCTGGAAATTCTCACTTTCAGTCGCTGTCTCGGTTTCGTGCGCAGTCTCAAAGCCACCGTCTTCAGTTTCGTTTGCAGTCTGGTATGCATCACTTGCGCTTACGTAGCCAGAGCGAGGACGGGGCCGGGGACGGGTGTAGACGACTGATGTCTGTCTTGGTCGTACAGTCTTGGTAGGGCTGGGTTCCATGACCTCTTCATCCTCCCAATCAGGCTCATCAAGTTCAATTTCGGTGATACCTTTCCTACCGGCACCAAGCATATCTGGACGCGGGGGTTTCTTGAAGATCTCCGCCTTAGTCTTTTGGCGCTTCTGTGCACTGCCTTGAGCCGCAGCTATTTCATTTCTGCGGGCTTCGAGGTCATCGCGGGCCTCTTGTAGCATGCGCTTGAGTTCAATCTTTTCAGACTTTTCGCGGTGAATGTTGCTCTTGAGGTTCTGAATCATACGGTGGGCATGATGGAGAGAGCTCTTGAGTGTTTCGGACTCCAAGTGACCGTGACGTGGCGTGGCCTTGTTGGGCGACGGAGGAGGGGAGTTTTCAGGGGTATCTTCATCGTCATCATTGTCTTTAGTCTCCGTGTCGACATTCCTAGCAGGTTCGGACTCGTGTTGTCGAAGTTTGGCGGCTACAGCCTTTGCAAGCTCCTGGTTCTGCCCGACTAGTTCGTCAACCTTCTTTCGCAGATTATTACGTTCAGCATCTCCGGTGTTGAGGTTGCGTCGCAAGATGTGCAGTTCAGAATCATGAGCTTTTTGGGCTGCAGAGTGCTCCTCAATAAGTTTTCCGTTCGCCTGCTTGAGCTCGTCGAGCTCCCGCTGGACACTGTTCTTCTTTGCAGTCAGGGCATTTAAATTGGCAGTCAGCCTATTCTCGCGAGCAGCAGCTTCCTTGGCGGCAGCCATGAGTTCGTGGGACTGTGTCTCCAGTCTCCAGTTCTCATCTTTGTACCGTTGTTCGCTCTCATCTAGGGATCTGATGCGCTGGGAGAACCCTTCGGCTTCAAGCTCGAGCCTGGATTTTTCCAAATTCGTTTCGCGGAGAGCCTCATCCCGCTCAGCAAGGAGAGCCTGAAGCTGGCGGACTTGTGTGAGAAGTGAGGTGCTGATTTCGGTAGCGAACTCAATGTCATGGATACGGCTGGCAGGCTGGTTGCGTTGTCTTCTAGACGGAACGCTTACTTTGGAGGGCGAATTGGTCGCTTGGCTTGACAAGAATGCCGGGCTTGAGGGAGTCTACTCCTATGTTAGCAGGTACATTGACATGAAGGTATGTTATGTATGTGCGTGTGATGGCGATCTTACCCGACTATCGAGGGGCGTATCTTCAGGCGCGAGCAGCCTTGGCTTGGCACCAAAGGTCGTCCTGGCCGACTCACGTCCGACCTCATTGTAGTCTCTCTCCAAGGCGAGCAGCTTTTCACGTAACTCAGGCCCGATCTCACCTTCATCTTCCTGCTGTTCAACCTCTTTTAGTTTGTCAGCGAGTTCCTGCTGCTGGCGGACAAGAGCAGTGCCAAGCTTGGACGTCTCCTCTAGCCTCCGGTCCGTTTCAGCGAGGTGAATTTCCAGTGCCCGTTTCAGCTGAGAAGGTGAAGACGAGTTCAGAGTCAGGAGCTGGTTGTCGAAGGACGAGTAGCGATGCGGTTCCCGTTGTGACTGGACAGCGGCCAGGGGGGTTGCCACGAATGGGTCGTCCATAGCTAATTCGGGCCGTAATGGAAGATACAAGTCGTAGTCGATGGGGGGGACGGTAAACGAGTGCGGGTGGTATCGCTGCCTGCTTTCTCGTTCCCTTTCCTCTTTTTTTTTTTTTTTTTTTCTTCTTTAATAATCTTCCACGGCTGTCTTCTCTCCTTGGAATTCTCAGTATCTGCTACAGAGAATCCAGGCGTGCGACCTCATTATAGCCTGTCCGGAGCCTAATCCGCAATGCGCAATGTGCCCCCCAACGGGAGTCGACGAGGGCTCTTTTTAGTCCTCAGGGACGAGCAGGCATGCGATCCAGCGGGAAAATTACGGAGGGAAGAGGCAGGCGAGGGCTCTGGTCGCCTTTTAGTCGTGAGATGCAAGGGGGCTGGCAGGCTGGCTGGTCAGGCTTCTTGCTTGCGCTCTGGGGGAGCCAAGGTGTGACGTGGGTTTTTGTGTTGTTTTTCCCCCTTCGCTGGGAGATACGCGTATCCGGACGCAGGGAAAAGCCGCCAGTTTGAGACGGGGAAGCAGATATAACAAAAGAAAAACAGCAAGAGACAAGCAAAAGAAAAAGGAGACGAAGAAGAAGCAAGTGACAAAAGAGTGACTGAGATCGCGCGCTGCTTCGCCGGCCGTGAAGAGTCGCTGGCGTGCAGAAGCGAAGTCGACGTCGAAAGCGACGAAAAGAGAAAAAGCGCGAAGGTTTTGTTGATGCTGACTAAGGCCGGCCGATGGCTTGACGATCTACGAGATGGGCGAAAATCAGCGGCGGACGGGAAGGGCATGCAAGGGCTCGCTCTTGTTTCCTGCTCGCTTAGCACGATAATAATAGCAGTCCGAGGGCAATAGCTGCGGTGTTAAGCAGCGAACGATCAATGCAAGTCATAATATCTCGATTATAGTGTTAATCGCAAGCGTTTAATTATTTTTGTTTCTTCCCGCGGCCAGGGTTAGGATTATGTAAGTAAATCATTATATAATAGCTTATTAAGTCGATTGCTTATGTAATTGATTCTCTCTCTCTCTCTCGTAGCTTCTTTCTCTTCCGGCCATGATAGATATGAGATATTAGTTATTATTATTCTGTTTTTACTTACGGCTTTCTCTGCCATCTGTACGGAGTGTAATAGCTGTCTCTTTTTCTCTTCATTGATACATCACGGTTTTAAGAGTCTTCTGCCTCATAGGATTAGCCTTTCTTCGTTGACAATTTCGATACCAGGTTTCGTCCATAAAGATAACACCAACAACGAAGATTAAGACGAACAAACAAGCAAAGAGATAGCAGATAAAGATACGATGGAACAGTCAGTCGCTGAAGAACAGACACCAGCTGTCTCGTTCAAGAAACGGTCCGCCAAAGCAAAGTCCAGCCTGCGCAAAAAGGCTGCCACTCCTCCACCGGCATCCGACTCAGAAGACTTCACATCCAGCGACGACGAGCAGGGTCACAGGATAAAGCGCAGGCGGAAGAATGCGGGGGTCAGCGCCTCATCCAAGTCAGCAGCAGCTTCTGCGGGCCGGGAGCTAGACAGCGAAAAGCCAGAGACCACCGAGCGACCAGCTCTCCCTACCACCAACGATGCTACCAAGCAGTCCAACTGGTACGACGAGGAACTAGACGAGAAGAATCTGCTAGGAAACACACGGCCACGACCAGGAGACGTAGGTCAGGTCGCGGCAGACGGCAAATACAGGGGAACGTCAAACTATCAGAGCTTCATCCAGAAGAACCCCAATGCACCCACGAAGCAGGTTGGGCCCATGAAAGCTGCCACCAACATACGCACCATCACGGTCACCGATTATGCTCCAGACGTTTGTAAGGACTATAAACGGACAGGATGTAAGTGGTTTTCTTTTCTCCTCTTCTTTACACATGCTTTTTCATTGTACATTCTGACAATAACCAGTCTGTGGCTTTGGTGATTCATGCAAGTATCTCCACGCTCGTGAGGATTACAAGGCAGGATGGGAACTAGACCGAGACTGGGATGTGCAAACAGAGGGCAAAAAGCTAGAAGGTCAGACTGTGGCCTCTCGCAGAGGTGGAGAGAACGAGGCTGGTGACGATGAAGAAGATGAGGAAGAGGAAGGCATTCCACCCGAATGCGCTATATGCCATAAGCCGTACACGAGCCCGATAGTCACGAAATGTGGGCATCATTTCTGCGAGCTATGCGCGCTAAAGAGATACCGGAAGAATCCGGACTGCGCCATATGTGGTTCCCCGACCGGAGGGCTATTCCGCACCGCGAAGAAGCCGGGCATACGTGGCCAAAAGGGGGAAAGCTGAGCTGTTTTGACGCTAATGAGTTGACATATGATACCCGATGTAGCAATGTTCATTTGCCCCCATAGCCCATCTCAAGAGCGATCTGTAAATCTAATCATTGACATCATAGGTGGAAACCTGTTCATATATAAAGGCCTGTTTCTTTCCCTCTTCATCGTTCTCTATTCTCTTCCTCTTTTCTCTCCCTTTCTCTAGTATAGAATGAATACTCCAGCGCTTCTTAGTTAAGTAGCCAACCAATGATGTGCTAGGATATTGTGGGCACAACGCGTCTGAATTGCCGGCTACAACCAATAAGCTTCGTGTATTTTGTCGACAAGCGAACAACAGACGCGTCTGTCGACGTCAACATTCAGATCAAGCACGACTCAACACCAAATGGACTACAGACAAGAAGAAAATGCAGTCATAAACCAAGGCTGCACTCCTCATTTGCGTCTTATGCTGCGTCTTATGCCGATAGCCTTCGCTAATATGCCTTGGCCCACGTTCACTTCAACTAAGTACTAGATGCTTCCATGAGGAAACATACCAAGACTCTTCGAGCACATTGTCTGCTGAATGCGACGGTGGCAGTGGCCATCTTCCAGGACAAAATACCCCCAGAATCTATGTAACACGCAATCAATCACGTATATTGCCTCCAAAATTGCGCAACTGCCTCTGCATGATGACATGTCTGCTGAGGAGATACACTTACAACGACCATACCATGGTCAATTAATGCTTAAAGTAGCAGAAACATGGATGAAGAAGGGCCAGCGCGTCATGTGGCTGGACTTATGACGAAGGGGCGGCATTTACAACTTACAACAGGTGCCGATTTCCGTGGTTTCCGCCACAGCGTTCCGATATTTGGACACAGGTAATGACAAGTCAGAAGAGATACTTGAAGAAAGGATAAAAGAATCCTCCTAGCACCCAGCAGTTTGCTGCCCCATGTCTATCAATCTATGGACTCCATAATTCTCTCCGTTTATTGGGGTGTCATCCAGATATTGGACCAAAGAAGAATCAGAAGGAACAGAAATCCAAACGGAAGGTGCTATCCCACGAGCCCGGTTCTATGGTCGTTATTGCCCAACGTACTCCCTATGATGCCGTCAGAAGGAGCGATGAGTCACGTCCGTTCCATGGTAGCTGGATGACCGCCACTGCATCGCTCCTACCTGGCTGAAAATACCATGGCTCGGACCGTTAGCCGTAGTTTTGCCCAAGGAAGGAGCCCCAAAGAGCAGTAGCGGCGGCAAATTAGCAGTCAATAGAGGGTGCCACCGCCTCATGGCTACTTGCCTATAATGGCCAGTGAGTCATAAATGGCATTCACTATGACGGCGTAAGGCAAATTGGCCCTCGAAGGGCGTACGTAATCGCCGAGAGGATCTGTCTACTTAAACCCCGTCCTTCTCCCTCTCTCCTTCCTCTCTTCTTCTTCTTCTTTTTTTTTTCTCTTTCTCATCTGTAGCCATCTATTCAGCCATCTTCTGCCAGCTATACCACCATCTATACCCATCTATACCCATCTACCGCTATCTGGTGCTATTTCTGCTATCTCTTTCATCTATACCCATACATACCCATCTATACCCATCTATACTCATCTTCTGCTATCTATACCCATCTCTGCCATCTCTGCTATTTCTGCTATTTCTGTCATTTCTGCTATCTATACCCATCTCTCTATCTCTACCATCTCTGCCATTTCTGCAATTTCTGCTATATATACCCATTTCTGCGATCTATACCCATCTACTATTATTTGGTACTATTTCTGCTATCTATAACCATCTCTGCTATCTCTTCCATTTCTGTCATTTCTGCTATCTATACCCATCTACTGTTATCTAGTACTATCTCTGCCATCTCTACCATTTCTGCTATCTTACCCATTTCTGCCATCTCTGCCATCTCTGCCATCTCTGCTATATCTGCCATTTCTGCTATCTCTGCCATTTCTGCCATTTCTGCGATCTATACCCATCTACTACTATCTGGTGCTATTTCTGCTATCTATACCCATTTATTGCCATCTACTGTTATCTCTATCATCTCTGCTATCTATGCTTATCTACTGACATTTACTGAAATCTATAAATATTTACAGCTATCTATTGTATTTTCTGCCATCTCTACCATTTATTAACATCTATAGCCATCTACTGCCATCTACGCCATATTTTGCCATATGTTGCCATATATGTGATGACGGCCTCCGGGCCCCCCTCCCCCTCCCCTCCCCCTCCCATTCCCATTCCCATTCCCCCTCTCAATCCCCCTTTCCTTCTTCCCTTTCCTTCTTCCCTTTCCTTCTTCCCTTTCCCTCTTGTGTTACAGGTTTGTCCGCTCTGAGAACCAAGGCTGACACTCGACTATCGCATGAACTATAGTTTCACATCCAGCTACGGATATGATACCCTCGAGCCTCCTTACAGTGAGTCTTCCATTACTACACTAGTTAAAAATACTAACAACTACCGCCAGATACCTTTTGACGAAAGGGCCAACGGCCCTCCCGTAAGTGAAGTGAATTGACATACATGGGCCTGAAATCCAACGCTAACATCCCTCTATTGCGATATCAACACATCTGCAACCGCTTGCTACGCCAATAGCCTAAGAGACTTTCACGTCGACTCCCCCACTGTGAGTTCAGAGTTCCTCTACACCCTTATCAGGATGAGCTGCATACTGACTTATAGAAAGAATCAGCACTGCCGGACAAGGGCGGGGTGGCCGCTGCCACCCTGTGAGTAGAGTACCCTCCCGTGGAGGCCAAAGCGCACTGCTAACATCCCTATATAACGCGGTAAATGGCCAAAAACAACCCATCAACTCGAAAAAGCCTACAGATTAGCACATAACAAGGCCAACCCGCCTTCACCCCCAGGTATGACATTCTCCGAACTCCTGCGGCTCAGACATTGTACAGGATATGCTAACAGCATATGATAACCATCTTGGTTGTCCAAACCAGAGAGCTGGTTTATATGTATCAACTACACTCAGTTGTCAACCGTGACAGCAGTGGGATGGTTCAAGTCATACTCTAGAAGCTACAGGATGAGAATGGTCTTGACAGGAAGAAGAAAACTAGAGAGATTAGAAGTGGATGTAAGAACGGCCTGGTGGACAACAGGCTCTTGGAAGCCTGAGTAGATAGTTTATCTGAGTACCGGCATGTCTCTCGTCCGACGTGCTAAATTTATCTTTGTCTTTCTCCATTTCTTTATACCATGAACCTGTCTACGTCTATCGATATTTTACCGCCGTAAATCTATACTTTCCAGGCCGGCTCTCACATGTACACGATAGCGAAGTCATCGACAAAGTCGAGTCCCAAGCGTGGTGGTCAAAATAAGATGGCAGCTGCACCAGGGAGAGATGCCATGTAGCTACTCCGCAGTTGACCACTTTTCAACGCCTGGATGAAACCACTGCTTTATGACAACCGCGCCAGTCGCACTTCTATCGGATAGAGGGATACATTATCAGCTTGCGAAGACCAGCCATCCTATCCTGCCTTTATCTCGGTGTTTTTGGGCCCTTGAGGGAGCTGAACAGCCATGCCAGCCGCAGCCACGAAATCGAGGCTATCGGCCACTATAAACACGGCTTCAGCAGCAGAATCTATTATTCTGACAGCCTGCGAGGTCGTCACCCGAAGGCTCATCGGTTACACGACTTCGATCCCAGTGGCCGAAAACCTGGCAGTTTCAGATCTCGAAGGCTAACTAATCCTTACGGCGTGCTTCGAGAGGTCTTGTCCTCTGCTTCTCTGCTGTCCCATCTCGACCGTCCAAGGCCCAACTCTCCCCCACAACCACTCCGCCAGACGAGCGTTTGATATACAGCTCGACGGCCCTTAGAAAATGGAGGAGTATAAAGGATTTAAGGTTCGGCTCCAGCGGCTTGGACAGTTGCTTGTTTTTCTCTCGTTTTGTTTGCTTCTTCTGTGGCTTATAATGCCTGACTCTGCGAGTTATGTTACTGACAGCGATATAGGACGACAGCATGGCTATAATATATATAGCCAGCGCTTATTATATACACTGGCCCACCTGAGCAGGCCGTCTCCCACACATGGCTGCGTTCCCGCGCGCCCTTTGGCTCGAGGGCTGGTCAGGGGACAGGGAATCAGGGGCTAGAGGCAACAGCTGTGAGACGGGACTGCGACTCCATCAAGATGGAGCAATATGGAGCTGGCACTGATCTCTCAGCCACTAATTTCACTCTTAGTTAAGGTGGTTACGGAGTACTCTGGCCCCCTTTTACCAGCCCAGAAGACTAACCTCTCTGCTCTAGTTACGTCGACGATGTCATGGGCTGACGAGGCGCGACCGTTCGCTGCTGTGGAGAGACAGAGACGCAGTCGAGGGGGGAGTAGCGTAAAATATGCACCTCCCCTTCTCTAAGCCAACATCTCTCTCGATCCTCCCTTACGTCGGTCTAACAGCCTGTGGGAGACCCTCCTGATGGCTGCGGCAGATGTCTTTCTTTGTCCCCTCGCCCTGCCCGTCTCGATAACGACATCTTTTTCACCATGACGCCGGCCGAGCTGCGGTGATCTCGTCGTACATCTCTCCCCTTGGCCTCGTCAGCTCTCATTCTCTTCCCGTTTCTTCTTATTGTTTTTTTTTTATCATTATTCTTCCCGTCTTCTTTGCTTCTCTGTTTCTTTTCGCTTCTTGATTTTTCTTCCTTATCTGCTTCTTTTCCTCTCGTTTCGTTTGCGCTGATTCACAATGACGAAATGCCGGCTCCGTCATTTCATCATCCTTACGGGATCTGTGCTGGCCTGCATATGGTACTTCCTCGGTGGTGAACTCCGAGCCATTGCGGACCAGTACAACGTCCGAGACTACCTCAGAGCCTCGCTAGACCCGAGCAGACAGCCCGTCAGGCCGTCCAATGCCACTGCTGTCGGCGACAAGGCCATCGTCATGGCTGCCCTGGAAGAGGAAGACACTCACTGGGTCGAGGAATACCTCCCGGAGTACGCAGGCCCCTGGCTACCTATCCCCCCAGGTTTAACACCGATGTGCTAAAGTATATCTACAGCTGGCAGCGGGCGATCTACACCGTCAACCCATCCCCGGAAACCCGACGAGACCCCAAACGTCTGACGACACCCGCAAACAAAGGTCATGAAGCAATGGCATACCTCACCTACGTTATAGAACACTATGATTCTCTACCTTCCATCGTCGCCTTCGTACACTCCCACCGCAATGGCTTCTTCAGAGCCTGGCACGTCGATGCTCCGCTGCACGACAACGCCATAGCGATGCAGTCCCTGCAGACGGACTATATCAGGGAGAACGGCTATGCTAACCTTCGATGTATGCGGAACTTGGGCTGCACGTCACCTGGCAGACACCCGCTTCTTACACCTGAAGTATGGGGCGAACTGTTCAACGGGACAGCGCAGGGGAAAGCTGCTGCTGCCGCTGCTGCTTCTTCTTCTGCTGATGCCAAGGGAGATGCGAAAGGTGCTCGAGCCTTCATACCAGTGCCGGATGTGGTGATGGTTGCGTGTTGTGCACAGTTTGCTGTCTCAAGGGACCAGATTCGACTACGGCCGTTGGAAGATTACATACACTTCCGGCAGTGGCTGTTTGATACCTCGCTCAACGACGCCACTAGCGGCCGTATATTCGAGTATTTATGGCATATAATCTTCGGCAAGGATGCTATCTAGTATGTATCCCTGTTTCTGTACCACGGTCGTCGCACTACTTACTAACGATATATTTATATATAGCTGCCCTGAGGAAGATACCTGCTACTGCAAGGTCTATGGCCGCTGCTAGTGCCACCTTATTATCCTTTCTTCTATTTTACCGTCCTCGCATTTTTGCATATATAAACCGGGCTCCCCTTACGTCTTGTATAAAGGTCAGGGTAAAAAAGCTTATAGAATTTTGTTTGTTAAAAAGCGCTAGTGTATATACCCCCTGCTTTTTTGATGGCGCTTTTGTTATATTGTACATGCATGTGGTTTTATTTTTATTTATTTTTTTTTTTTTTTTCTGTTGTTACTCGTTATATAGAAATAGATATCAGTTTGTACCCTGCTTGAGACCAAATCTAACAAATTTCATCTCGTTGGAACTCCCGAATTTTCCGTCTGAGATCTTTTTCGTCGGCTTTCGCATTGACAGGAATTGCTATGAAGCCTTGGTTGGGTTCCTTTGAACGACTAAGATTAGCCCTGCTCGAGAACATTCCCCCCATGGACGGGCGTAACACTAAACTTACGAGAAGAATATAAGTCTCCTTTAAGTGCATCTCATCATCTTTTAATATTAGATTCCTGACCTTCTTTTAATAGTTGTAGTTATTGCTAGCTCCATCTTTGTTTTCCTCTCCGTTAGGCTCATGGGGGTTTGGGCAGACCACCCCGTAGTAGTAGACCAAGTAGTAGGCCCAGCAGTAGATTCAGAATCAGATACAACGTTTGTCAATATGTTGATTCACGCTCGTTCTTAATCCACCCCTCCTGCTCCAGCTCAATTGCTGTCATCTGCAGGTTGTTATGGATCAGTGCGTCCGAGAATCGCGGATCCGTGCTGTCACGAACGTTGAGCTTTATAAGCCCAGGGATCGTGGCATAGGTCCGCATAACTCTGGCAGCTTTGAGGAACCGAGAATCCTTCATTTTCGGTACCCCGTCCGCTGATATGCCGGCATTCCTGACTCTCCATTTCTCATACCGCTTTGGTCGAAATATCGTGGATCCGTACTGTCGCGAACATTCAGCTTTATGAGCCCGGGTATCGTGGCATAGATTCGCATGACTCTTGCTGCATAGGATGAGCGAAGGCCCTAGTTTTGGCAGCATACCATATGTTGGACTCGATTTAGCATATAGACGCTCAATAGCGAACTTAGGGATAGAGGCTTCAGTGATAGGTTGTTATCTACCGTAGCCTTGGTGTCTTTAACTAGGTCCGAGAAGTACCTGTGCATGTTATGCTTGTTGACTATTCGTTCCTCGACCTTCACTCTAGCAAACGCTTGTTCTTCGTTTGCTTGTAGCCAGTCAGGTTCCAGCAGAATTAGCCGGAAGGCTCGTGTGAGTGCAGGCTTGGTAATATTATTGGGCCTGCTGTGCCATGTACTCCGTAATTAGTGGCTGAATCCCTTTTGGGCCCGATTCGCAAGGTAGGAGGATCGTTCCGTCGTGGAGGCATCAGTAGTTCGTATAAATGCTCGACGCACATCCGCCCGCCATGCTGGATGGTTATATGCCCGGTATTCAGAACTGGCAGAGAGGACCACATTCAATCCGTTCCAATCATCGACCACCAGTTCATCGAGATGGAGCAGAAATAAATGTGTTCTTCTCGTTGCCCTGTTCCATGATCTGCCTCTCTGTCCAACAATAAGGCTATGCTGCATTCGCTCATCGCGGTAAATCCTGGTGGCCAAGTCTGCTAGCAACGCTTGCAAATGTCTATTCCCTGATAATCCGTTTGCATTCGAGTCTTCTGACCTTCATCAGTTGGGAGGTTGGTTGTTTTCCAACCTGCCGGGGAGGAGTGTTTCGTTGGGCCGCTTCTCAATATCGTAATGCATGCAGCCTGTTAATCCAACGTGACTGACGCTCGCTCCAGAGCTCTTAGCAGAAACCCAAGTAAGAGCCTTGGGCATATGTCTCTTATAACATGTTCGACATAGAACCATGACCATGGCAGTCTTGATGTCGTGTCCGGAATACCTCTTTCATGGTTCTGATCTCGGGGGCACTCATAATGTATTCGTATAGCCGTGTTCCTCTCGCTTTCCGTGATTGCTGAGTATGTGGTGGTTGCTTGCTGCTGTAGCCTTTACGACTAAGCGGCTATCAATATTCCGCTGATAAAGGCAGTACTTCATAAACTCCTAATCTTCTGTTAGATCAGAAATGTCAATTGCATGAAAAGGGGACGAATTAGTACATACGAGGGACAACTCTTGATGCTGTTTCTGAACCTGCTCTATATTGCCCAGGCGTGACAGCGTTGACTAGAATGTCTTCCGGCCCAGAAGGTACGGCATAAAGCCATCACCGTAAGTCCCCCACTCCGGCGCCATGCATCTCTCAGAGTAAGAAGTCTTCAAACATCTGGGCTGGGCCAGACGCCGAGGACAGTCCGGTAAGCCGATTGCACTCCAGGCGTTATGTTGTGCCCATGCAGCGAGGCTTTTGGCCCTTGTTGGTAGCAAGCACCAGTAAGGGCATCTTCACTGTTGGCTTATGGTGATTGCCAGGGTGATCCCGATATGCCATGGGCTTGGTGTTGTTTTGAATAGTGGGATATTGAATATGAATATGGGGAGTATCAAAGTGTCATGGTGTAGATTGAAGGCTGCTCCCCCGAAGGGAGGCAGAGGAGTGCGCTTGGAAGAGAGAAGACAACATCCTGAGGGCAAATCATGGGGTATTTTATATTCGACTCCCTTGCAACGAGGCTGTCTCTTCTTCTCTCTCCGGCGGCCACGACTGTCTCAAGTCAACGGCGGTAGTTGATACGGTCAGCATCAGGCGGAGCAGGAGAATAAAGGAGCTCTACGCAAACGAAGTGAGACCGACTGCGATGCGCTTGCATATCACCGCTAGCTGGTTCCGGGGTATCGAACGAACGGACGTTCTTTGTTCCTGGGCTCAAGCAGAGTCCAGCAGCACTGATGCAAGCAGGGCAGAGAAAGGCCAATGCTGGTGCGGTGTAGGAAGAGAGGGATATTCCTTTCATGCGGACTGGGATGTTTGATTGCAGGCTCGTACAAGCCACAGCAGAAACAATCGCGTCAACAGGTAACCAAGTAGTTAGCTAAATCGATAAACAGATAAGTAATTAAACAACCGGATAAGATAAGGCACGGATAAGATGAGTAGATAAGTTTATTTCGTGGGTGATAGTAGGGATGAATAGCTAGACAGAGAACGGAGTAGTAACTTGTAGGAGAGTCGTCACATCATAAGCCGAAGGATAGCAGAACCAAGTACAAAAAGACAACAAAAAGAAAACCCCCAAATATCCCGCAAGCGCCGGGCCTCCCGCCGTCCTGGGAGTACTGTCTGTTCCTTTTGCCCGTTTCCTTCAGGGCATCCTCCCTTCGTGAAAGGACATAAAATCAATCAAAGCACATGAAAGGATAGGTCTAGAGTGCTGAAAACATGGGTAAGATGGAAAAGGAAAGTATTAAAAAAGAGACGAATAAAAGGAGAAATGATAAGAAAGAAATCATGGATAGAGAGAAAGAAAAGGTGCAGGAGACAAAGGATAGGCCTAATCATGGCCGCCAGCTCTCGTCTATCCGCCCTCTGACCATCCGCCGTCCTCGTCTGAGGCCGACGTTGCCTTCTCCAACAAGGGCTTTCCATCGCCTGCCGACGGAGTCGTGGTTCTTGCCCATCCGTCGTGCGCAGTCATTCCAGTCACGCTTAGACAGTTTTAGTTTCTCAAGCACGAGCTCGACTAGTCTTCCGTCATCTTCGGTCGTCCACTCTGTACTCGGATGGGGAGGCGAGGAGAATATCGACGAGTCTATGGCATTGTTTAATGAGTTGTGTGTGGCCGCCGTAACGGCGAAGGAAGGGAAGGAGGAGGTTCGATCCGGAGAGGTAACAGTGCTGCTGGATATTCTATCTGCGTCGTCGCCTCGTCGATTCCATTGCCGTCGGATGCACGGGGACTGTGTAGGTGATCGTTGCGACTTGGATGGAGTGTCGAGTGATCGGAAATCTCCGGTCTCGAGGCCAAGTGGGAGCTGTGGAGGCGCACGTCTCTGCCTCTTTGGTGTTGAGAACTTGTCTTCATGTTCTCTATTCTTGCTTCCGTGCTGGAAGTCCATCGACTCCTCATAGACCTCTCTCCGTCTCTTATTGGCGCCGCGAGGGTACTTTGCGGCTGGCTTGACGACCCTCTTAACTGTGCGCGCAGATGACAAAGGGCCCGTAGATGATGAGGTAGATGAAGCAGAGGTAGTTCGGTCCTGAAGATATGGCGTGGGTTTCACTTGTAGAGGGCTCTGAAGACGTTCTGGCTTGGGTGCTCGAGTGCGCGTACGACTGGGGGAGGGAGCAGGGGATACGTTCAGCAGCGACTGGAGGGCTCGGCATGTTCCCAGGAGGCCATTTCCAGATCTGATGCCATCGTCAGAGGGCGGCGGAGTGGATGGGAAGAGGTGGGAGGCGGCGAAGCGAGGCCGAGAGGAATATTGTTGCTGCCGTGACTCGCACGACAGGGCAGAAGGTAGAAGCATCGTGCTTGAAGCGATCCGTACACTGCGTATGCAGAAGCGCAAGCCTGTGCTAGGTATCGGCGACCGAAGCGGGAGTGAAGGCGAATATGTATTCAAAGATGAGCGTTGTTTGCGCTGTGCCGGCGGCTGCCTGGATTTTTTGTATTTTTATTTTTATTTTATTTTATTTTTTTTTTGGCGCTGGGAGTTATGCGCCGGGCGAGTTTTCTTGAGAACGCGAGGTGGTATGGAGGTGCGGTAAGCTGGAAGAAGTCCTGTTAAGCGATGCGCTTCATGCGCTGCGTCGTAGCGGTCTTTGCGACGGTGCGTGGGTGGTTGAACGGCGATGCGGCGGATGCGGACGGGTTGATTGTAAGGAGTTGGGAACCTGGGGGGGAGGAGGTTGGGAGGGAAAACCAACATAAATCGCACGATCGGGAGGACAGAAAGGCAAAAAACGGGCACTGACAGGCTAGCGGCACAAGCGGCTTGGCGCGGCCAGGGCTAAATTGGCGCTGCAGGGAAAAAGCAACGCCGCGAGGATGGAAAGTCGCAGCGAAGCCGGCTTAATAATGGGGGCTGCGGTGGGGAGGAGGTCGGCGTGAAGAGCGTGCTAGATGGAGGTGTATGGAGTCCCTGCTGCGAGCTAGAGAAAGGGCGGTCCATCGTCTAGCAAGGAAACGAAATGCTCCGTCGGGGCTGGTCTTTGGTCTGTTGTTGTGTGCGGTGAAGAGGCCGGCATGGGGACCGAGACAAGGCCGCTTAGGATCCGGGCTGGGAGGAGCTAGAGCGTGCGTGGGAGGGAAAAGGAAGACAAGCAACAATGTGATGCCTCAGAGGGCTATCAAGCGAGGGAGGCAGAGAGGGGACCGGCCTGCCCCGTGGTGGTGCCGTTGCATCATCATAATAATATCTAACCGCCCACCCCTTGGCTTTGTTTGTTTGTTGCTGTCTGGCTATCCCCCTCATAGTTCTCCGTAGCATAGCAACGGACGGATAAAAGGCAAGTAATATGTAGGAGTTTGCTCAGCCGGAAGCTGCTCCGCTCAGTCGAGCGAATTGGCTTTTATGCTCCTCTGCACCCCCGTCCTACTACTGCAGAGACAATCTACTTCAAGCTTTCTTCTGCCCTGGGGGAAGTTTTGTAGTGCTGTTCTTGCGACAGCCCTTCCAGGCCGGAACACAACATGTCAACCCCAGCAAGCTACTGGCAGACGTCCTGCGAGACCTTCCACTGCAAGGTCACCACCAATTCCCTACAGCTGTCTCGAACCAGTGGAAGACCTCTCTTGACAACCGCCATCTCGTCTCTCGGGCTCTGGTCGACTCGTAGACTGTGTGGCCCTCGAAGTCGTCCTCTGTACCACCGAACCTCCCAGGAAAAGCAAGTGTATTGCTGTGTCACAAACTGCGCCCACCTGCCCCTTCGATTGGCCAGCCGATCACCCATCCTTGTAGGTTAGTTGAGACGATCCTAAGAAAACGCCCATTGTCCACGACTCGGCTTCGATGGGAGGAGAATAAAGTTGGGGACGAAGGTACCAGGGTGCTGAAGGTTTTGGAAGGCTGCGGTCCGTCCCATCAAATAATCCCATCGCCTGACTTGGGCCTTGCCCACTTGATATCCGACATCACCATGGCGACGGTGCGTGCTGGATGGAGCCTGTCCCAGAGTTTGCCTTCACAGAACCCATATCATTATCATTCCCCGGTAGCCTTCGTAAAATGTTCCGCAAAAGGTCAGCTGAAGATGGAAAGTTCGCTTCTTCCAAAAAAAAAAAAAAAAAAAAAAAAAAAAATGCCCCTTGTTTTCCCATGTCTCAGTGTCGTCGGGTTTGCGCAGGTGCCGGCTCTTTCGCTAGGCAAAATGATAAATCAGCCTTCTGCCCACCAATATCTTTCCCGAAGTCTTGCCACTCCTCATATTGACTTTTTGATACTCTGCATATTCGATATCCTTTCTGTTGATCTGCTCTCTCTCCTCCCCCTATCGCCAGCTTCGCCACACAAGCGAAAAGCCATCAAAGTCAGACGCGCTGCACGCGCGCTAACGCGTCTGTCGCGCCTTTTCGCGTTTCGTGTACCTGCAGAAGAAAACTTTAATCTGGCCAATAAAACGCGATGGCCAGTTCCATGAGCTTAGTCATCCTATCTTCATCGCAACTTCGAGGGAGCGGAAGACAACAACTGACAGCTGGAAGGAAAGAAGAGAAAGGACAAAGGAAAAGGAAAAGGTCGGACAGCTTGCTACCGGTCACAGAGATAGCTGGATACGTAGAGGCTGCTTTTTGGTGCTGTCCCTTTTTTTTTTTTTTTTTTTTCTAGTTTGGAAAATGGGCAGTAATAAAAGCAAAAATTGAACAACGGGGTGCAATGTGACTGATAACTACCTCCCTGTCAACCTGTTGGTAGAACAACAACGTTTTATTGCTCACCATATCTGACTACACGACGCTTCCCAGTCAGAGGGTCGAGTACCTCTTCAAACACTTCGTCTTCCTCCAAAGACGATCTATTGCCGTTGCTGTCGCACTTTGGCCGAGAGCTTGCGCCCTTGAAATTGCGCTTAGCAGGCACATGCTGGGCCGCTGCCCTTTCAGGCCTTAGACCGAGAACTTCATTCCGATGCTTTTTGGTGATTAACGAGGGTGCTGCGGTGCTTCTCACCACGTTAGGATCCCATTCGCCTTCAGTCGCCGTTTCTGGCTGCTCGTGCCCCATATCATCACCCACACTCGTGTTAGACTGTGTTCCCTTCGGCCGTTGAACTGGTTCGTGATCGTTCTTGTTCCATGCTTCGGGACTAAACGGGTTCCTGATACGCGGCTTGGCCTGGTGGTCAGCTGCATCGTCATGGCTGGTCGCTTCAAAGCGGACTATGGCCCTCTTTGGGTCCATCAATATACCATCCCGCTTTTGACCCGTTGACCCTTGTGGGGAGTGAGGGGAAGAAGCATCCGTGCTACTATGTAACCTTTCCGGGGCCTCTTTGTTTCCGGGATCTGAGAGCGTTATCGATATGTTTCTTCCGGCTTTCATTTCAGGATCCCAGCGCGAGATAGAGAAGTAAGATGACTCTCCGATCTCATCCTCAGGGGATGTGCTTTTTCGATCATGTTCCTGGCCCTCCGGGGAAAGTTGGATGGCACTTCTACCTTGCCAGAAGGTGTACTCACCCATGGACCCTTGTGCATACCGCAGGTCGTATAATACCTGCTCTTTTTCGTCTCGTGGTTCCCACCCTTGGATTGCACGCACGTAAAGCTCATTGAAAGCTTGGCTGTGCGCGCTGTTTGTGAACCAGTCATGGTCCAATGCTTGCTCGGCTGTCATTCGTTGCTTATCGTCAAGGACAAGGAGGCCACGAACGAACTGTTTTGCACGGTCACCTATACACTTCCAGTCTTCATCCTGCTCGAGCACATCGAGGTTACATTGTTTGGCCAGCTTTCCACAGTATTTACCAGTCACTGGATCACTGAACGGTGAACCACCTGTCAGAAGGACAACAGTGAGACAGCCCAGAGACCACAAATCAACGGATTTAGTATACCCTTTAGTTGGCTTGTGGCACCCTTGGCCCATTTCTCTATAACAAGGTATATTAGCGCACACATTGTATTGATCCATGGTCGAGCATTCTTACGGTGCAGTATACTCCAAAGTACCCATCACGGAGGCCATTCGTGACTTCTTTGGATTCAGATACCGAGCACATCCAAAGTCAGTCAATATCACCCGTGATCCATTAGACAAGGACGTCATTAAAACGTTATCCGGTTTGATATCTCGATGGACAATGTTTTGACCATGTAAGTACACTAGTGCAATCACCACTTGTCGGATTATCACAGCAGCTTCCACGTCCAGGAGTTTGCCGTTCTTGAACTCAAGGAAGGAGAACAAGTCGCCTGCTGTAACAAGGTCTTGAAATATGTATCTGCTTCCATCTCAGAAACTTGGCCACGTCTCGGTCAGTAGACGAACACTCACATGGCATTGTATGTCTTGAAGACTTTTTCGATATTGATGATGTTGGGCTAGCAGTCTTGTTAGCTGCTGTTGCAAATTGACCGGACGTGCTTGCCTCACTTACATGTCGTAGCTTCTGCAAAATTTCCACCTCCCGGTCGTACATTCCCAACTTTGCTTGTACCCTATATGTGAGGCGGCGCTGTTTAGATGCCTTATTTCGTGCTTCTGAAACAGTCGTTTGGGGCATTTTTCCCATCTCAATTTGTCGAAGCCTAGCTTTCAAATGTGCTAGGTTCACTATTTTGCAAGCCAGCTGTCTCTTCTTTTTCTTATCAATGGACATGTGTACTCGTCCATATGCCCCACAACCCAAAGTACGGTTGGTTATGGTGTACTGTTCCTCGAACTGTTTCATCTCCTGGATCTGAACTTGATCGAATGGTGTTTGGAGCACTCTCTCACCCCGATACTCTATCACCACGCTTCTGCAAACTTTTACCATATCTCCATCACTTAAGAGGAACCCTCCGCTGGCTTTTCCTATTTTAAGTCCATTCCAGAAGGCTCCATTGCGGGACAGGTCTTGGACATACACGAGAGGCGCGACCTGTGTAGGGTTCTCTTGGTCAAATATGATTGAGTAGATACGAAGATGTACGTTGGAAACCACAGGGTCATCCACAACCAGGTGACTAGAAGATTAGTTAACAATGGATTTTCTGAATTGCTTTGACGACCGGAAATGAGAAGAGCACCTACCATGAGCTTGAATTCCGGCCGACTATGAACTCTTCATTGGCAAATAGCTTCCATTCTATAAATGGTTTATTAGCGTCACCCTTCTTGCATTGATACCCCGGGTTGCTTGTCTAGAACTGGGAATATTCTTAGACGGCCTCTGCAACCTACCACTGCAAGACTTGTTCCTCGCGTTATGGACATACAGAGTCCCAACATGATCTGGCGAGCATGGCTGGAATACGCCGCTATCATCTTCAGAGTGTTTACCAGACATTGCAGACCTGTAATTGGCTATACACCGAGTTTCTAATCAGTAAGCATGAACACACTCTCTTCAGCCTGAGATGAAGTTGTCGAGGAAGAGTTGAAGTGACGTTGAAGAGAGGAGGTATAGATATGCCCGATTGGGAAAACGCACGGACTACATATGAACACGCCGATATATCGTGCCAACGGATTTTCTTGAAGCCTGATCTCTGTATTATATTTCGGTAGAGCCCATTCACGCTCTACTGACATTACGGATGGATATGGAATAGAGCACTCTGGCTACGTATTCATGGATTTGCTTCCTATGCCTGTGGCTAAACATAATCTTACCAGTATACCAATGTTACCTAAGTATTATAATTACACGTTGCATAACACAGCATGGCATACCTCGAGAGTTCTGAGTATACTTAATGGGAAATTCAACATCTATAACAAGGCATACTGAGCTTCTCGAGGATTGCAATGAATATAAGCGAATGAGGCTGAGACCCCTGCCAAGGCACTCCTTCTAGTCCGTACTAAACAGCGCCTATTTTTATCTCACAACGTCAATCCTTTCTCCTTACAAACCCCAATGTTTGAGAGGACATTCCTACGATAACTAGATTACTTCTAGTATTATGCCATTGCTATGTCGAACGCCTCTCCCGCAGATATCATTACTTATATCGGCGTTCCTCTTGCCGTGATCGGTGTGCTCCCGATACTCTACACATGTGTTCGCGCACTCCTGGTGGTAAGGTCGATCCGCAAAGTCCTGGCGCAAAATGGGCACTCCAACTCAGCAGTCACAAGAGGTAGCATGATGTCAGGGATCGTTGAAGTTGAGTTACCTCGCTATACCATAACTCCTCTCGACCGGGAAGAAGATGAGGAATATTGGAAGCTTAATCCAAACCGGTCCTGCCTCATTGGAGGCTCATGGTCGTATTTTCACTGGAATTGCCTTGTTACCGGCAAAAAGCTATACCGAATTCAATACAAGGATGAATTACTGGTCCCTCAGGCAGAGATAGATTTTGATGAGCTGATCGGATTCCTACTAGATCGTGGGGCTGTACCCGATGAAAATGGCTGGAACATGTTGAGAACAAGTGGGCTGTGGACCCCGGCTGGAACAGTCTTACTACGATCGCCCCTGAGCGGATTTGGAGCTGTTTTAAGGACGAGTGTACCTGATGATTCAGATGGTGTTCTGAGTCTTAAGGTTCATTGGCAATGTGATTGGGACCAGCGTGATAAACATTGTCTACCGCCATTTTGGATGCGGATCGATCAACCGAAGCTGTTTGGTAGTGGAACATATTCAAGCACAGAGTTTATCTCAAGAGAAGAAAGTGGAGGAATTGATGATAAAGATGGTGCAGAGCTACCATCTGAGGGCGATGACTCCGCGACTCCAGCTACAGTTCCATCACTACTGGCTCATATCGAGGAAAAGCGTGCTTCACTTGACAGCACCGACGGTACGAGCGACAGCATTCGATTCCGCATCGAAAGTGATACCGTGGAGAAAATCTACTTTGAACAGGACCATTTACTCACCGGGAGGACGGCGGAGATGGGTCATTCAGGTGACGCAATCAACCAGTGGTTCGTCTATACTGCCTCGTCATTAGGCCACATTGAAAAAGCAGGAACATGGAGCTTTGCACTGCCACAAAACATTTTACTGGCAGCAAGTAGGGAAGCAGTCCCATGTGGTATTATGGAGTTGCTAGGAATTATGCAGGGAGACGAATTGCCACACTGGGCATCTCCACGACCACAGTTCAATGACCATATGAAGTTCCATAACAGGTTTCTTGAGGATCTAAGGGCCAAGGAAGTTGAGAAAACAATGCCGCCGGCTCAAGCTGAGGCGTCTCGCCGGGCCAGAGAACAGGCGAGATGGGCGGCAATGCGAAACGACCATGCCGAAGAAATGAGGCTTATGCGTGAGTATGAAGAGAAACGCGGAGTGGAGGCATTGACGTCTCCTAAGTTGAGTAACAAGGACATTGCAGATGCCTGCTTGAGGTGGCTGATAAGGACCAACTGCGTCCCCAAAACGTATCAGATCAAGGACCTAGCCAAAGCAGTGTTGTACCTGATGGTTCTAGATTCCATCCAAGCCAAGTCAATTGCTCAGCTGTGTGATCGTTGGACGATCTGGCATCAGTCTCCAGGCATGAATCGGTCGGAGATAGAATTCTTACGAGGGAATACGGCTAATTTCTGTTATGCCTCGGCTATAATATATACTATCCAAATAGCGGCACGTTCAGAGGCTCAAGTGTCTACTGACATGCAAGAATGCCTCAAAGTATGGAAGAAAGTCCGGCTTGGTTGATTGATGTGAAAGACCGAGTTTGAGGGCATATCATATTTCAAGCAGCGGAGCCTCCTTGCATTTTTCGAATCCTTTCCTCAGCCGCTCTGGCACGCCGCTCCCGCTCCAATTTCATTCTCATCTCAGGGGTCATTCCTCTAGTCTCTTCTTCTCGTTTCTCAGCACCGGTCTTCTGCTGGATAGCGGCAATTGTTTGGCGAGAAGCCCGGTTCTTCCCCCAATCGAAGGGGTTTCCTCTTTCCTCAGGCGTTCAACTTCTTCTGTTCGTCTTTTGTTTTCAGCTTCCTGTATCGTCCTTTTCTCCGCTTCTTCTCGGCTGTCACTCTCCTGCTTGGACATTGCAGAGGGTACATGGGCGGCTTCCCAATCCCAAGCCTCTTCACCAAGCTCGTGTCGCGCAACCCTGAATGCATCTCGAGTTATGCGGTTTCCAGCTAGATCAAACGGCGGTTTCCCATCGTCATTCAGCTGGGTTGGATCCACCCGTACCTTCGTTAGCAGCGCGCTGACGATGGCTGGTGAATTGGAGCTTGCAGCAAGATGTAGAGGGGTTGACGCGTGGTAATTTTGTGCCGAGTTGGCCGGATAGAATCGGAAATCTTGTGGTATTGAATTGCTTGAAATGTACGACAGCAGTGCAGGAACCTTTGAACGTCGAATGAGAGCTTGAATCTGAGATGTGTGAAGCATCGCGGCCTCATCTTCTTTGGATATTTTAGGCTTCTGAGGTTGTGTTTGAGCCGCAGACTTGGGGGACTTGGAGGCTGCGTCCCGTTTCGCTTCTTCTGCAGCAAGTGCAGCCTCGTCGATATGGCTGACCTTGACGCGAGTAAGTTCCGTAAATGCCCTCATTAGCTCTGCCTGGGTAGCTCGGCGTGTGCTAAAGGGGAACACGCGTATTCTGGGGTCCGTATGCTTCAAAACCTGCCCCTCATATGGTCCATACAATATTCTGCGGTTGGTAGACCCAGCAGCTCGAATAAAAAGTAACTGTGCATCGTCAATCATATCCTTCCAGCTCTTCAGTAACTGTCTGATTTCACTTTCCAAGGCTGCTTCATTATATCGCCGCAATGTAGCACCCGCGGAGTGAGCGGCTCCTCCAGCCGCATCATGAGCCGCCTGGCCACCTCCTTGTTTTCGTCTTGTGGTATATCGATGGAATGTTTTATGTGCAAGCACGCGTGCCTGTCTTTCTTCCACTCCAGAGCGCTTCTGAACTTCAGGTGCCAGAGCTACCACCATGGCGGCGAAGTGGCCGCCACCGATCATACATAGGAATATGTGTTCAGGGGGTGAATCATTTGTGGCCTTGGATGTGCTGGAAGCTGTCTCCGAGGTATCTTTAGCCCTCTGTATAACATGAGGCTTCTTTTGTTTTGCCCTTAGAGAATCAACCAAATAGTTTGGCTCTGTCTGCTCTTCGTTTGTAAACAGAGCTCGATATACTCCCAGTGAGGTATTTGCGTCAAGTAGGGGGCTAGTAAACCATAATAACGGCTCTTTGCCTCCACGGCCCTTTCTACTTGAATTTGAACTGTCATCAAACGGCACCGGCGAGCTTATCTTTGCCTGTTTTTTCAATAGTGCCGTCAGGGTGGTATCGGGTGTTTGCTGCCCGCTCTCCTCGTCATCATCAGACTCAGAGTCCGAGCCAGATATGGATTCATCCAGATCTCCAATCGCCTTATTAAACTCTGTCTCATTAAGTGTGGCTGTCCCCCGTAGTCTCGCCTTCAAATTGTACCGGTGGTGATCCGATTTGGCGTGTTCTCGTTGTTCTTTGACTTCATGGAAGGCAACTTGGCAGAGAGCACAGGACATGGAGCCCGGAGAGCTTGTGCTGTCATCGCTATCCCTTGCCCCGGCCGTGGACTCGCTTATCTCTGCCGGCAAGACCCTGCTGCCGTTTGCTGACTTGGTAGTTAGAGAGTCCAGCAGCTCGGCGGGGAGGGAGTACACTGTTTCACCATTATGATTAGTCTTTGTTTATTATTATCACAACAGGAGAGAAATCTCGAGCTCACCGTATAACGGGCGCTTCAGCAGCGCTTCACCCTGCGGAGTACCAGCCGCCATCGCAGGCAGTGTTTGTCCAGATAGATGTCTGATTAGATTAGTGCGGGCGTGCGGGTTTGGTCGATGACGCCGAAATGTCCCAGCGGGGGAAGTTTGCTCGCTTGTCAAACAGAAGCCGCGCCAAGAACTCCCTCCTAAGCTCTCGATAGTTTCGCTGCAACCAAACAGCTCCAGCTCCAGCTCCAGCTTCCCGCCGGCTGTGAATAATGTTTTATATAGCACTGGACTACTAGCGAAACAAACTCTGCTGTGGCTGGACTGGATGACTCACCTAGTGAAGTAGTGTCAAAGAGTCATAGGGCAGAGACCTTTAGTTACTTCGTTATTACGTAGGGAGACACGCCTAACCCCGACTAAATCCGACGCTCCTCTGCAGACACGGAAGACGCCTCGTATCCCGCATCTCCAGGCAGCAGAGCAGGGCTCGTCCGTCCATCCTTCGGCCAGCCTCAGCAGGAGACCCAGCGCTGCCTGCACCTGCCTGCACCAAGCTTGCAAGCTCTCCCCAGGCTGTTAGTCTACATACACTTAACTGCTTCCTTACTTAGTTCCCTTTTCCTTGCTTTTTTCCCGGCTGTAGAACGACGCGGAAAAGCTGCATTTGTAAGCTCTCGGCTTAGCTAAGCACTAGCTACGTACCGCTTCCCTGGCTGTTTTTTCGAACTATTAAATAAATTAGATAACCGACCAGCTTTGCTCGCCTTTTCTTCAGCAGCCTGTTCCTTTTGCCCTGAAGTCTTCCCTCCTCCGAAGCCCATTCTCTGGTTGTTGCTCATCATACGGCCGGGACCATGGCGGGAATTGATGGAGAGCAGGCGGTTCTCGCCCTGTCCTCCAGCGAGATCGCCGACGTCGTTGCCGGACCCTTAGCTCACGCCCGGCATTTCTGCGGCGACGCGGAGGGTTGGGGCCCCATCAGCTCTATCAGATACGGCCTTACTCCTTGCTTTCTAGACGTCTTCATCTGCTTCGTGGCCGTGTTTGGGCTGGTTGGCTCTGCCGGAGCTCTGTGGCTGCTCTTGAGACATAGAACAGCTGAGAACATCCCACGGAACTGGCACTTTTACGCAAAATTGGTACGCGCGAGAGAGTTTGATTATGACGTATTGAATATAGTTGCTAACGTGTTGATAGTCATTAATATGGGCTCTTGTTATCGTTGTTGGACTCCAGGCGTCTCTACAGATCGAAAACCTTCCGCATGTCTGGGCCAGTGACTTTAGATTCTGGACCACCATCCTTCTCCTTCTCTCCCTCGTCTGTATATATGCCGTTCAGTATCACGAACATTGGAGAAGTCGTCAGCCAAACGGTGTGGTGCTCTTTTACTGGCTCTTCTTCCTTATTGCGCACGGCGTCAAGCTTCAGTCGCTGGTGTCACGCCAGTACTATCGAGATCACTTGCCGTACTTTATCACCTTCAACGTTGGCCTGGGTATCGCCCTCCTCGAGTTCATCCTCGAATACTTCGTCAAGAAGAAGCAGAGCGTCTACCATGCATTGGGCGATGAGGATGAATGTCCCTTCGAATATGCCGATATCTTCTCCGTCCTGACTTTCTCATGGATGACACCTCTGATGAAACAAGGTTACAAGACCTTTCTCACCCAAGATGACATGTGGAACCTGCGAGAGCGAGATACCACGCGTGTAACGGGTGAAAAACTGCAAAGCGTATGGGAAGACGAACTTAGGAAGAAGAAACCCTCTCTTTGGATGGCCCTGTTCCGAGCATTCAGCGCTCCCTATTTCCGTGGTGCGCTGATCAAATGTTTGAGTGATATCCTAGCATTTGTCCAGCCACAGCTCCTCCGTATGCTCATCAGCTTCGTTGATTCTTACAAAACCAATAACCCGCAGCCTGCTATCCGCGGAGTCGCCATTGCACTGGCTATGTTCATCGTTTCTGTTGTCCAGACTACGTGTCTGCACCAGTATTTCCAGCGGGCATTTGAGACTGGTATGCGTGTCAAATCTTCTTTGACTGCAATGATTTATACCAAGGCTTTGAGACTATCAAATGAGGGCCGTGCTACCAAGTCAACTGGAGACATTGTCAACCACATGGCCGTAGACCAGCAACGACTGTCTGACTTAGCTCAATTTGGCACACAGCTGTGGTCAGCTCCATTCCAGATAACCCTGTGCATGATCTCCCTCTACGACCTGATCGGATGGAGTATGTGGGCCGGAATTGCAGCCATGGTGCTCATGATTCCGCTCAATGGTTTCATTGCCAACGTCATGAAGACATTGCAGGTCAAACAGATGAAGAACAAGGACCAGCGTACGAGACTAATGACTGAAATCTTGAACAACATGAAGAGTATTAAGCTCTACGCCTGGAACACCGCCTTCATGAGCAAGTTGAACCATGTCCGAAATGACCTGGAACTCAACACTCTGCGCAAAATTGGAGCTACTCAAGCAATTGCTAACTTCACCTGGTCATCCACACCTTTCTTGGTTTCATGCTCCACCTTCGCCGTCTTTGTATGGATCACGGACAAGCCTCTCACCACCGATATCGTCTTCCCAGCATTGACTCTCTTCAACTTGCTCACCTTCCCGCTCGCTATCTTGCCGATGGTCATCACTTCTATTATCGAATCCTCTGTTGCCATCACACGTTTGACCGCATATTTAACCTCCGAAGAATTGCAAGAAAACGCTGTCCAATACCAAGATGCTGTTACTCACACTGGAGATGAGGCAGTATCCATTCGGGATGCTACATTCACCTGGAACAAGTATGAGAGTGGAAATGAACTAGAGAATCTCAACTTCAGTGCCCGGAAGGGTGAGTTGAGCTGCATTGTCGGCCGTGTTGGTGCTGGAAAGTCGTCTCTCCTTCAGACTCTACTCGGTGACTTGTACAAGGTCAGTGGAGAAGTCGTGGTCAAGGGCCGCATTGCCTATGTTGCTCAACAGGCATGGATCATGAACGCTAGTGTTAGGGACAACATCGTCTTTGGGCATAGATGGGATCCCCATTTCTATGAACTGACAGTAGCTGCTTGCGCCTTATTAGATGACTTCAAGACTCTGCCTGACGGCGACCAGACTGAAGTTGGAGAACGTGGAATTTCCTTGTCCGGCGGTCAAAAAGCACGGCTTAGCTTGGCCAGAGCTGTTTATGCTCGTGCTGACGTTTATCTTCTTGATGACTGCCTCTCTGCCGTCGATCAGCATGTCGGAAGACATCTTATCAACCGTGTCTTGGGCAAGAATGGAATCCTATCTACCAAGACCAGAATTCTTGCGACCAATGCCATTACCGTGCTAAAGGAGGCCGACTTCATTGCCTTGCTTCGAAATCGCACCATCATCGAGAAGGGAACATACGAGCAGCTTCTAGCAATGAAAGGAGAAGTTGCAAACTTGATCCGCACAGCTATCACCGAGGATGACTCCGGATCCAGCGGAAGCAGCAAAGACGACGGTTTAGGCGGCTCAGAATCTTCCTCCACAATGATTGATATTGAGGATGATAGCCCTATCGCCTCAGACACCGAAGAAGCTCAAGAGCGCTTCGCGCCCCTTGCTCCTATTCGAAGTGCTGGTGGAGTAAAGCCACGCCGCGAAAGTACCACCACACTTCGCCGCGCAAGTACCGTTAGCCGACCAAACTTCAGAGGGAAGATCACTGATGAAGAAGAGGTTCTCAAATCCAAGCAGACCAAAGAAGGCATGGAGCAAGGAAAGGTGAAGTGGAGCGTGTATGGGGAGTATGCTCGGACGAGCAACCTCTACGCTGTGTCTGCTTATCTGATTATTCTTGTTATGGCACACGGTACACAGGTAGCTGGTAACTTCTGGCTGAAGCAATGGTCAGAATTAAACGAGAAAGAGGGTGTCAATGCTGAAATTGGGAAATATCTTGGAATTTACTTTGCTTTTGGAATCGGTTCTTCTGCACTTGTCATTTTGCAGACTTTGATCCTTTGGATTCTTTGCTCCATTGAGGTATGGGCATGGTTTAATACTTTGCTATTTGCCCCGTTCAATACTAATATTCTACCAGGCATCACGAAAACTGCATGAGCGGATGGCGTTTGCTATCTTTAGATCTCCTATGAGTTTCTTCGAAACCACTCCTGCCGGACGTATTCTTAATCGCTTTTCCAGGTACGTTAACAGTTTCAAAGTCATTGTAGAGCGATGAGAGGCTAATATTTTCATAGTGATATGTATCGTGTAGACGAGATGCTTGCGCGAACGTTCAATATGGTATGTCTGCTTCAACTATTTACTTGATATCACCTAAGCTAACAATACATTATAGCTGTTTTCCAATTCCGCCCGCGCTATATTTACTGTTGTAGTTATCGGCATCTCTACACCTTGGTTCCTTGTTCTTGTCTTCCCACTTGGCTATGTTTATCTGAGATACCAGAAGTACTATCTGAGAACATCGCGAGAACTCAAGCGTCTTGACAGTGTCAGCAAGAGTCCCATCTTTGCGCACTTCCAAGAGAGTCTTGGTGGAATATCCACTATCAGAGCATTCAGACAACAAAAGCGATTTGCTCAGGAAAATGAATGGCGAATGGATGCCAATATCAGAGCGTACTTCCCGTCGATTAGTGCCAATAGATGGCTTGCAGTGCGACTGGAATTCCTCGGATCTGTCATTATCCTTGCAGCTGCCATTTTCGCAATCATATCTGTGACCACACACACTGGTATTACCGCTGGTATGGTCGGTCTTGCGATGTCGTATGCGCTAATGATTACCCAATCTCTCAACTGGATTGTGCGACAGACGGTAGAGGTGGAGACGAATATTGTTTCTGTTGAGCGTGTGCTCGAATATGCAAATCTCCCAAGTGAAGCCCCAGATGTTATATTCAAAAATCGACCCACCTTAGGCTGGCCCTCGCAGGGCGCTGTGACATTCAACAACTACAGCACGAGATACCGTCCCGGATTGGATCTTGTACTGAAGGGAATTAACCTTAACATCAAGCCGCATGAGAAGATTGGAGTTGTGGGAAGAACCGGAGCAGGCAAAAGTTCGTTGACGCTGTCTTTGTTCCGTATTATCGAGGCAGCCGAAGGCCAAATCAGGTAAGTCGATATAAATGTTGGGTGTGCACGGGTGAACCAAATTGTCGGGAAAGATGCAGCTAGCTAACCAAGCTTTACCTATCTCAACAATAGTATCGACGGATTGGATATCAGCAAGATTGGCTTGCAGGACCTGCGTGGTCGTCTTGCGATTATCCCACAGGACGCAGCTTTGTTCGAAGGGACGGTTCGAGATAACCTTGACCCCCGTCATGTACACGACGACACCGAACTATGGAGCGTTCTTGGTATGTCAACTTCCTGTCTTAGATTTTGAATGCATTCTCGTGCATCATGCAGAGTACTGACTGTCATCAACCCCTAGAACATGCACGGCTTAAAGACCACGTCTCTAGCTTACCCGGACAACTGGATGCCCAGATACATGAAGCAGGTACGTTGGTTGGGGTTGTTTATTCGATTTCTGGGATCGATTCCGATTCGCGAGCACGACATCTAATGCATATCTGCGCAGGATCCAACCTGAGTCAGGGACAACGACAACTCGTCTCGATGGCTAGAGCACTATTGACTCCAAGCAACATTTTGGTGCTTGATGAAGCAACCGTAAGTGACCGGATTAGTTCATTCGATTCCAATTTCTCAAAATGTTATTGCCCTAATGGGGGATGAGCCGTCCTTGACTAACCGCAATATGAATAATCAACTAATCTAGGCCGCTGTTGATGTTGAAACCGATGCCCTCTTGCAACAGATGTTGCGCAGTAGTATCTTCGAGAACCGCACGATCATAACGATCGCTCACCGTATCAACACCATTCTAGACAGCGATCGGATTGTTGTGCTTGATCGCGGCACTGTAGCTGAGTTCGACACTCCTGCCGAACTCATTCGACGTGGAGGGCAATTCTACACTCTCGTCAAGGAGGCAGGGTTGCTTGAAACCGGCACTTCTTCCCCGGCAGCCCTGGATAAATAAGGGATTACCCGAATAGGCAAAATTAACAGCATGGATCGGAGTATCCCAGAGAACCGGGGGAGGAGGATGTGGCATCCCGCCCATCGACCAAAAAAATGCCTCCTGGAGTCGTTCGTTTCATTATCAACAAGCAGTGTGACCATCACCGTCAGCACTGCCCTCGTCGCCCTTATTTTCGTTCTCTTATCTGCCCCATTTCCATTTCCTTTTCTTTCATCAGACAGTTATAGAGCAGGGGGGGATATGTCGAACAAGGCCATGACTCGACGGGCCGGCGGATACACGGGTGGGTTCAGCACTGTCCATCTAACCCAGCCCGTTTGTTCGCTTGTTCGTTTATTTATTGTTCCGCCTCGCTTCAAAGGGGAGGGTATATTTTCAATAATTTTGCTTGCCTGACCTGTCCCTGCCTCTACCGAGTCCATGGTTCGACTCGATGCAGCCAACATACAGCAACCCTCTTCCCTCCTTTTTTTTTTTTTTTTGCGATTTGGCTGTCTCTTTCAGCCCCGGGGAATGTTTGGCTTCCGAACCATCGGGCCCAATATCCCAGCAACATCGCACATTAACATCGAGTTCCGGGACAAAGGGAAGGGTGGTGTGGAGCAAATCGACTCCATTGCTGGGAGTTTTCGGCTTTGGCAGGCGACGATACGGGTTTGCCCAGCGTGCAGCATCGTACTTTGCAACACGGCGGTACGAAAGGGGAAGAAAGCGAAAAAATAGTCAGACATTATCACACAACCCGCTGTATATATGTGGCCTGTTATTATAACTAGTTAAATCGGCAACCAAAAAATGTTAATAGTCTTGTTTTTTGCTGTTTATTAATATTTTTCATCCCTCCCAGCCCTGGCATACACATTATGTACATTTTGAGATAGCCTTGCAGCAGAGAATCTGCCTTAACCACAGCATCCATGTCCAATATGCCGCCGAGCTATAACCCCTTTTCTCCCGCCGTAAGCGGTCCCCCCTCCCTCCTCCACCCGATGGATGCACTTGGATATGATTCAGTATGTGGATAATAATATCCCTTGAAAAAGTCATGTTGCTGCTCTCTGACGAGCAAATAATAATAATAATACGAGGGATAATGCCTGGCACAAATGGCAGGGAGCTATATCAGGGTCCCGAATCTCGGATATCAATCATCATCAGCCAGCTTGACGACTCCATAACACTGCGTATATTCTTCTTAATTTGCCTTCTTCACATTTCTCTGATATACTCCATATAAAGCCAGTAGGCATTATTGGCTTCTCCGCTTCTCCGACACATCGCGTGGACATCTCGGTCGTCTCGATTGGTCTTCCTGAGGCTGTGATGTTTTGCTTGCTTTGCTTTCTTTGCTTGCGTGCATCAACGATGGACCCTCTCTGGCATCCACCCCCCCCTCCCCCTCCTACTCCTTCTCCAGGGGCAAAGCAGACGCACATCTCGTCCCTCGCAGAAAGGCAAACAAGACCTGCTTGGTTTCGACTCTAATCCACGCCGGTCGACTTGCAGATTTGCATTGGTGGGCGCCGCTGTCGATTAGTTATGGCTCTGGAGCCTGGAGCCTGGAGCAGGAGCATGAAGCGCCCATCCTTATCCTTAACTAAGAATAACACTATAATCCACCTGCACTGGGCTGTGTGGGCTCAGCTGTGCTAGGCTTAAGTTGATGGCCACCCAGAGCTAGCTTACGCATTCCCCCTTTTGCTTCTTCGTGCAGTTGACTATCGTCTGCCCCCTTCTGCCCCCTGATAGTCAGGGTTGCAAGTTATGGAGTCATCGAATATGCGAGGGGTGTAAATCTTGAATCTTGGATCTTGGATCTTGCTTTGGGGTCTGATGCGGTGCCGTCATGGACGTTTTCATGCATCTAAGTTAATCTATAGTTGGTCCTCAGTATTGGGGACGGAGATCTCTTGACCTGCCTGTCTAGCGAAGTGAATCGACGGCTAGCAACATGTCATGGGACGGAAAAAGGGGAGTCCACTTCCCTTCCCCAGATCTGAGCAGAGACCGCACGCCTTCGACGCCTCGTAACTATATGGACCGGAGTCTATAGCGGAGGTACACACAGCCAGCAAGATGCCACCTGAGGGGGGGCCCTTGAGGTCGTAGTCAGTCACCCGGCAAAAGCACACATGGAGAGCGGATAGACTTGCTGCATATACTTAGTTCCCCTCGTACTCTGTAGACAGAGGAGTCGTCAAAAAGGGTCTTGGTAAGTTGCAGCTAACTAGTTGACCCCGTAGCTGGAGTGGCCGTGGGCGAATTGCAAGAACGGGCCGCTCCTCCCGTTCTCCAGAGCGAGGGAGAATATACTCCGGCCATGGCATCATCGCCTCAGCGTACCCGAGGCAATGGGGATGATCACCATCTGGTGGAGCGCGGAGATTGAACAGCGTCCTTCTCTCTGGCGTCTCCTTTTTGCTTGCCGTCTGCCCGCCTCCCTCCTGATCCTCCCACGGTCCCTTCGATCAACAGCGTCGAATCCCGTCCGTCTGGATGGGAGGTGTACGCATGTACGCATGTATATGTATGTACATAACTCTGTTGGTAGGTTTTCGATGGCCCGAAGCTTCTGGGCAAGCGTATATCGGCCGTGTATAGTTGTCTCCCCTGAATCCAAGTTGCCTCCCGGTGGTGTTGAAGGGTGGGACCGATGCTCAGGCTGCTGGCTGCGAGTGCGGATAAACCCACTACTGCCTGAGGGGGAGGCGCCGTCTCTGGCGTCACCATCGTCGCCATCGAACGGCATATCCCGAGGGCTGGCCGGAGTCTTGTCTCGGTAGCCATGATGGAGCACAGGGGCTCCGCTGGCGCTGGCCGTGCTTTCAATATAACCCTCTAGTTCCAGCGCATGGCCAGGCAGAGTAGTAATAAATAACTAATAATAAGAGTGATAGTCAACATGCAGGGCTCAACTGGCAGCATATGCTGTCAATGACTCGCCTGGCCTGCTGCTCTCAACCAAGGAAGCGATACGAGCCACTATCGAAACGCTAAGCATGCGCGGATCGCCAGACAATTGGGACCGCAGCCGTTTGATCTAGAGCATTTCCCTCACCAGAGTCTTGGGACCGAGATGGTGGTGGTGGTGGTGGTGTTGCTTTTTGATGTACACTGCTGTCTACCGAAGTATGTACATACGGCTCCCGTAACTACGGCGGATGTAACTGTCTGGCCTGGTGTGAGTGGCCCCCTATCCCCCCCCCCCCCCCTTTCTAGAGGAGAATCGGCTGGCAACCAGCAGTTCGGACATCGAAATATGTAGCAGATGCACCACCCATGTTGCTTTTTTTATACCATCTTCACCCCTCAGCCGGCGACTCTATTGGAGTATCTGCCTGCAACGAGGGCGTGCGTCTGTTTCTGATTCCGCTTCCTTCGCCAATCACCGGCCAGAAGAGCCCTTTTCCATCGAATAGTGGCTGGCGATCGGCTTTGTCCTGCAGGCCAGCCAGCCCATGAGCCATCGAGCAAGGCAAAAAAAAAAGGAATGCACAGAAAAAGCCATCCGCGAAGGACTGCAGCAATCTGACAGGCTGCGAGATCGAGTTCTACGCGAACACTAGAACCGTCTTGTCCTTCTTCGTCTGTTTCTCCCGTGCTTTTCTCCCTCCTGTTTGTTTCTTGATCATTAGTTATTACCACCACCCCCTATCCATCCATTCCGTCCATATGACTCGACTGACTGGTGGCCTAGACCTCGGCCTCGACTGTATATTCCCTAAGTCTAACGGGCTCCGCACGGCTCGACAAGACAGGACAAGGCAAGGGGAAGCCAAAATGGATCCTACCGTACCGTCCAAACGGCATGTGTCCGCGTCCCGGGACAGATAGGGAGAGCCAGGGAAGAAGCAAGAGCAGTAGCAGCAGCAATAGCAACAGCAACAGGAGGAGAGATGTCTGGTGCTGTGCAACTCTGCTTAATATGGCTCTCTGCAGCTTCATCTTCAATTTTTCTTCCCATCTTCCTCTCAAATGAATGGCTTGACGGGGCCAGCCCAGGGGGAAAGACAAACCGAGCAGCCCTCCTCCGTGTTAAAAGCAACGAAATGCTCAGCCATCCATCGCTCCTCTCCGCGCCACTGTGTGACCTGGTAGCTTGATGGCCGCCACTGAAAGGGCCCTATTTTCCAAATATTCCCCCAATTTCAATTTCAGTTTTCCTCTCTCCCCCCTCTTCTTCATCTTCTTGACCTTTAATTTTGGCTTTTGCTTCCATCTTCCCCGGATGCTGGAGGGTGCTGCCGTTTTGTTTTGCCATGGAGACTCATTGTTTTTTCTTTCCTTGTCCTGCGCACACGAATAACATAGTTATGGGTCATTTGGCAAACAGTGTACGGAGTACAGAGCATATGTCTGTACGGAGTATATCTGTACCTCTTGGTTAAGGTACCTGCAAAATATACTTCTCCGTACCTTGTTCGGTAGTTATAGCGCAATCCGACATGCTGTCTTGTCCAGGTGGGAAAAAATGACCTATATCATTGTGCGGCAGGTTTGAGATGCCGCCGGAGTGGACAGCCAGTCAATCAAGCGGGTGGGTACTCCGTACATGAATGTATATAAAGTACGGAGTACCCAGACCGACCGCCTGTGCTTTCTCTGCCCCCTCGCTGGGGCCCGCTTAGATGCCCGCTTAAAATATACATATGATGATGGCAAAGGTAACAGCAGTCAATTGAACCCCGGCCTGTCTGTGGCGGGAAAAGCAGGTTCGGCATGCACGAAGCATGTTAACGGGCTGTAGGGTGGTAGTAGTGTTTGTTCTCCGTCGTATTCGACGGCGAGTGAAGGATGAGAAAGAAGAAACGGACCAGTGTTGGTTTCTTCTTGGGAGAGAGGGGAATGGCGGAAGGCGAGAAACTATCAAACTGGACCAAGCATTGAGCATATAACTATACTCGATAAGTATGTATACTTATATATGTGTGTATAAGCATGCCGTAGCCAGCATCCGTGGTTTGAATAGTTCAATCGACTTGATTTTATGCCTCTCCAGGGATTCATTCAAGTGCAAGGGCATGAATTAAGCTCAACCAAAAGCTGGCGTCTTCTCTGAGCATAAGAGCAGAGCAAATGGGAATATCGCCAGTTGCACTCCGTATTCCCTGCGTGCATTAGACGAACGCTGGGGGAGAAAGAGAACGCGAGAGTGATAGAGCCAGAATGCCTGCAACTGCACTGCAGCACTCAATTCTTCGTCCTTCTTGAGATTATTCCAAATTGTTAGCTAGTTATTCCTTTTTTTTCTCCTCGTCTCTTTTTTTTACTGCGAAATTTTCTGCTTCGTTTTTTTTTCCCTCTTTGCTTCTTTCTTACGCAAAAATAGCCCGGATGACCCGTAGGCAATCTGTGGAGTAGCAAGAGGAAGACGAGGAAGAAGCCAGCGAAGTGTAAGCGAAACTCTGCATAGGGTTGAGGATGAGAGGTGCAGAAGATGATAAGTCGAGACAGCCAGATGCCGGCAGCGAGAGACGAGAGGCTGCTGGGGGCGGCGGTGAAAGAAGAAAAAGCCTTTGATCGAACCGTGGTCGTTCTGGATCCCGTCCTCCAGCCAACAGCAGTTAAAAAGATGAGCGTCCCAAGGACCAGTAACCAAGAGACAGGACCCAAGGGCACCCGTCCGTCCGGCTGGCAAGGTTAAGAATATCTCCCGAGACCCAGGGCCCAGAGTGGTGGATGCTGGACGGATGCCATATCAGCAAGCGGCGGCAACCAGCAAGCGATCAATCACTGTCATCCGCCTTTTTGAACGTCGTCGTCATATCATATCAAAGCGCGAAATTTTAGCATGAGGCAAGGAGAGAGATGATCGCTGCCCAGGTCCAGGGGTGTTCTCCAAGTCGCCGGTCTAACTAACCACCCCCCCCCCCCTGGCTCGAGGGCAAAAGGAAAACACAGCAGTGCAGGATAAAAAGAAAGGAACGCCAGCCTCCTGTTGACGTTGTCACTCGATCACTATGAACATGATCGGCTTGGCTCGAGCGGCCTGAACTAACCAGCAACGGGTTCTGGCTTGGTTGGTGATGGTATGGTGATAATTTTAGCGAGATGGTTGAATGAACCCGAGCACTCCGTACATAAAAGGATAATACGGGCCACCCCCTGCCCTGTCCTGCTGCAGCATGTAAGAAATAGCCATATCTGATGCAAATATGATAGCTATGGAGAATATGAAATAATATCTCTCGCGCTGGAGCTGCCTGCATGCGCAGCGAGGAACCAGAACCAAGCCTCCTGTGCATAATATATGCAATATCAAACAGGGGATGGCAGAGGGTTCCGATTATTCATTTTATTATTATTAGCAGAGCTCTCTCCCGCAAACCTGCAAAAAAACAAAAAAAAAAAAAAAAAACAAAAATTAAGAGTGAAAACTTATGCATGATGCAGCATCGCTGGGCTCGTCGTCTTTTTTAATTCTTTTGCGTTCTTGCTGGGCTGTTGCAGGTACGATCGCAACTCTCGAGGGGAGACACACACACCCCTGACCCCCTGCTCTGCTGCTTTGAGCCTTGCTTCATGCTTCCGGGGAACAGGGGAGGGTACTATCCGTGGCTTGGGATGGCGTCCCTTGGCCTGCTTGAGCCTGAACAGGCTGAGAGCATCGAGCTGCCTGCTGGCTCGAGCTGCTGTTTTGGCAGCGCCTTGTCAACGACAACAGAGGGTCCATCCATCCATCCATGACCTTGACCATGGCAATGACATGACAGACGTTATGACAACGACGATGACGATTGATGGTAAGTTAACTAGCCGTCGACTGGCTAGTGGCATGAAAGCGTCCGGGCGGCTCGAGTCAGCCAAAGTACGTATAACGGTCGATGGAGAGCGTAACGACGCACAAAGGGGGCGATCAACGACCCAAATGCTGTACGACTGAATTATGAAAGAGCCAAAAGAACATCGTCTTGGTTCTTCAAAAACCGTTGCTTTTTTGTTCATATGTTTCTGTATTTTCCTGCTCGCTCACTGGCCGGCCGGAGAGGTCTTGTTCGAATATATCTCGACGTCATTTGTCCTTCACACTCTTTTCCTGCGGCCGTGACTGGGCCGCCACTGGGGGTCTTTTGTATATATTGGCCCTTTGGTAGCACTCGGTTTGCTGTCTGCCTGTCCCCATGACAGCTCGAGACAGCAAATAGGAGGCTCTGCTGGCCCTTATTATTCCCTTATTCGCCGTGTACGGGCGTGGATTAAACATATAAATTTCGTCTCCCTCCATCCACACGAGCCGCCTGGGGCGACGGACAGAAGGGCTTGAGCGGGCTCTGGGGCCTCTCCTGGGGGTCTGATAGACAGATATTCGGCTGCCTGAGAAGGGAAATTTATTGGTCTCGGCCGTCACAATGACGACGATGGGACACCAGCTTCATCATCATCATCATCATCATCTTTAGCAGCAGCAGCAGCAGCAGCATCATGATTGTCGCTGTCGTCTTCATCTATATCCCGTCTGATCGCTCGCTGTGGCTATCAACAGGAACAGGACGGCAGACTCATCCCTCCCCCCACGCAGCCTCACTTTCTGAGCCATGGTTTATTTTTCTCCCTTCCGCGAATTTAAGCATATTGGACCCTCTGCACATTACTTCTTCTCTGCTTCTGCTTCTGCTTCTTCTTCTGCTGCTTCTGTGTCTCTTCTGTTTCTTCGGGGTGGCGGGTTTACCCCGTGCTATCATTTATTGATCTTCCCCCTGAACGCACAGTTACATTGGTTACATGCCACAGGGCTCAACAGACGGACAAGCAGGAGGGAAACAGACATAAAAGGAACAAGAAGAAGCAGGAGAAAAAGAAAGCATGCCGATTCCACTCCAGATCTTGGAACGAGCGTTGGCATCAAACCGGGTTCAGCGTCGCACATCAGTCTAGGGCTACATTACGGCAAGCCAGGTTCCAGTCAAAGCAATGCTGCCGTCAGGAGAAGTCGAAGTCGAAGCCGACGTAGCAGCAGCAGAGGCAGATCGGAAGAGACGAGAATAAGAATAAGAAGAAGAAGATGATGATGATGATGAAGACGAAGAAGCAAAAAAGGAGGCGAAGAAGGTTTGTTTCTTGAGGCAGATCTCGCATGTTTGGCTTGAATCAGGACGAACAGCAGACGTAGCTTTCGTAACCCTGCCTGACTGCAGTATCAGAATCACTTCCTCTGACTGGCAAAGTAAACCGACCAGCTCTCGGTCGGTAGCCAGCCGGGTAGTAAAGAGGACGAAGAACAGCGTCTCCTGTCTCTCCTGTCTCATCCATGGGGCGGGCGAGCGGCAGCGGCAGCGGCAGCGGTGCGTACCGTCCTTGAATCATGGGCCCGGAAACATCGTACGCTTAGTTAACTAACTACCTTACAAAAAGGAAGATTACAATATTTTTTTCAAAAAGGGCCAGGAAATATATTAAAGGTTTATTTTGATACTTTTTTCACAAGATGATCGGAAGTGGTTCGATGTGCAGGGGAAGAAAAGTCTGATGAAGCCGTAGGAGCATACGGGAGTAACATGCTGGCCTGCAAGAGTTATACGCAATCCACGGTGCAAGTAGCTCTCTGCAACCTCTTTGGTGGAGTGGAGGATACGGGATTGAATTGTTCAGATATCAGTCTGTCTGCCGGCGGGATGTGATCTGTGCAGTTTCTGCTCGGATTCTCTCTGCTCCCTTGCATAAAACAGAAAAAGGGACTTGTACACGGTGAGACGGTGAGACAGAAGAGCTGCACATTTAATTAGCGGCCTCTGACTGGCTGGCCCATGGTGGTTAAGTTATGGACACGGAACTGCATGCTCTGTGTGCGGTTGAGGCGCGTGTGGCAGCCCATGTGTGGTTGTGCATACATATATATATATATATATACGGAGTATATACAACATTGCTGCTTAAACCGTACATACATGTGGGTGTCGTTAAGGTACACTACCTTAATGATAATAATAGCAGTTGCTAGCTATAATACCGCTGCTAATGGCCTGGAGACGATGCTTGGCCTTGTTTGAGCCTTTCGTCGTGCGACTCATTCTTCTCCCAGGGAGTGTAAATGGGATATGTACGATACGATGGCGCCAGGGGGGGCATGACGAAGGGGGGGGGGGGGGGGGGGGGGGAGAAGTGGTTAAAGGTTAAAGGGGCAGAGAGGGAGGAGCAGGAAATGAGCCTATAGGCGATCAGATCATTTTCAATATCAGGAGAAAGACTTTAATTTCATTCTCGAATATCTTGCCTGCCTGTTGTCGTCCCATGGACCATTCGGATGGTTCTTGCAGCAGCAGATGCACTGCAGCCGATGTCATATGTACAGGGGATATTTGGATATATACATCCATCCCATCCCTTCTTTTGTCCAAGGACAGCCCTAGTGCAGCAGCTAAGCATCAGGTTCCCTTCAAATCTCGGAACCCAAGCCAGCATTCCCTCCCCTATCTCTCTACCTACATATCCCCCCATGCAAGGGTCAAATCGACATGCCAGCTCATTAACATACGTGTCGATATACCCCAAGGTAGACACATGTATTCTGCGGGAGAAGGTTAGAGTGTGTAAAAAAATAATATTGAGACTCACCTCCCTCGTATGTAAGTACTTACCCTCCCAGCAGAGCCGGTTTCAAGGAGTCCTGAAAATGGGGACACTTTTGAGCAAAAGCTCCTTGCACCTGCATTGGATGCTGCAGTAGATGATGCACGATTCGATTCAGCTTGAGATTCCGAGTGGCCGAAGGCTCTTGTTACAGTTTTCTTTTTGGCTCAGTTGCATCTCTCTCTCTCTCTGGCTGTCTGTCTGTCTGTGGGGCGATAGGCGATGGCTCACGCAGCAGGACGGAGAAGGACGGCGAAAGTGAGGTTGAGCTGAGATTCCTGCCCTGCTTCAGGACGATGGCGACGGGTATATCTCTTAATCTACCATGGGCCAGCTCGATCAGACCCTTTTTTTTTCGGGGAGCATCCAATTTGCCTCTCGAGTTCATCAATTGAGGCCCCCTCCCCCCCTTTATCAAGGAGCAACTCACCCGAGAAGCATAAAATGTGCAAAAAAGAGAGGGTGTGTGTGTGTGCTGGTTCGTCTGTTAGACGTTTAACTAACGAATCAGCTAGAGAGCTTTAACTGGCTTTAGGCTTTTGGTAGGGGGGGTGAGCGGGCTTTGCAGTAGCAATAGTCGCGGCCGAGGAGAGATTGAACTTGGCGAAGGTACCACAACACGGAAGACAGACCCGATGGTCATTCTTCAGCAGAGCAACTAGGGAGTAGAGTTGAGCTGATATTCCGTAGAGCTGAGTGTATATGTAACTCCGCGAAGGCGAGCAGCAGTGCTGGGGAAGAAATGCTGCCTGCATATCTGGCTTGCCACCCCCTTGCTTGAGAGTATCAAGACAACGCAGCTTAAAACCGCCTGGAGATGGCTCCTCGTTGGCGTGTGCCTGTGCCTGTGCCTGCGCCTGTCAGAGGAGAAGAAAAGACAAAAAAAGCCAGAAGCCAGGGCCAAAATACAACTCCACTGTCCCTGATATGTGTGATGTTGTTTTAGTTAGTGTTCGTTACATCGTAGTAACTACTAGCAGATGCAATTCCCCAGCTGCCTGCATTAAACATCGGTCTGTTCCCTCTCCATTGATGGGTCAGATCCCCCTTTGGTGCCGTCGTTAGGAGGTTATCCCAAAGCCCTGGAAGGTTGTCAGCCCCCCCCTTCGCTCCACCGTGGAAGAAAGAAAAAGGGTCATCGTCGTATCGTCTTTGGCCGACCCTTCTTGTCTCTGTCTTGTCTTCTCCACTGTGCCAGTCTGATCACCTTTGGAAAAAAAAAAAAGAGGGCAGATGCCGGGCCCTCCCCCATACCCTCCCTTCTCTCCCCGTGCCGTGTGAGATCAGGGTGTCGATATTCCCTCTTCTGGTTCTGGAACGCCTGGCTCCAACGGCGGGACTAGCCGTGCGCTCTCCAGTATAATTCCGTGCCAGCAGCCTCATGCTCCGTCAGTATCTCCGCGATGTACACCTTCTGTACCACCGCAGGCGACTCCGAGCCCTGCTCAGCCATAATCTCTCGCCCGCGCCACAGCTATGGAATCATCGTACATATATATATACATATTGAAATAAACCTCCCTGCCAACAACAGGTACGGACATATAAGAATATGTATAATAATGTATTCGATGGGTGGGATATGCCTGCTTGTTCGTACATCCATGGGCCCCCCTCGCAAAGCAAGTAGTTAAAAGACCGAGGATGACGGTGTTTGCAAAAAAAGAGGACCAAAGCCTCCCTGTCCATGTCGAAGCAAAGCAGTTCGAGTTAAGCTTGTAAGCAAGTCCGTCAGTTAGCTATGTATGTACTTTCATCCATCCCAGGGACTGCTTAGAGGGAGCTATACTCATCACATCGGCCGGCCACCGCCGCTGATTGGACCCTGGCCCAGCATCAGGTTTAGCAAACTATCATGACTATGACTTAGGGGGCAAAAATGTGAGAGTCAGTTAACGGCAGTTAAACTCGCAAAAAAAAGACACCCAAGTAGCCAAAGCAAAACACCAATGGGCCAGGGGGAAAAAGAAACGAAACGAGGATTAAAACCAGTTCGGTTAAGAGGGCGCCCACAGCCCAGGAGAATGCACCACTGAGAGGCCGGCGGCTCAGGGACCCCAGATTCCGCGATCTCAACCTTGCAGCCAAATGTTCCCGTCCAGTTGGTTCATCATCGAGATTCCGCGCATCCCTGGGCCTGCTGGAATGGCCAGATTAGGGCAAGGCGAGAGACTATCGCACCAGCACTGGTCAGAACAGCAGGCGATGTTGCTTTTTCCCCCAAAATCCGCATGTTTGCTTTTGCCCCTTTTTTTATTTTTTTTTCTTTGCAACTTCAGGTCGTTCCTTTTTCGTCTTCTCGCTGCGTCAGTCTGCTTTGCCCTAAACCCTGAGAAAGCGACAAGACGAGAGCAGACGGCCAGAGGAAGGGCCAAAAAAAAGCCAATCTCTTTCTTCTTATCCGGGCCTGCGGCTTGCGAATCCGTCCCTTTATTGATCCAGACTGACGGGTACTCGCCGGTGTATATCTTGCTGATGCAGTCACCAGCTTGCTTTCCCCCTTGCCACAGCTGAACTGGATCCTGGAGAAAAGGCACGATGAGCAGCAAGTATACACGCTGAAGAGAAAAGAGACTCTCCTGCAGGGCCATGGTTCACTTTGCCGCCTCCCGATCGAGGGGATGTTGACGTTTGACCGGACCACCGGCGGACGGGGGGGGAGGGGGGACGTCCCAACGCTCGAGTCAGCGGTCTCCATCCACGGTAACCCGATAGATGTACTTGCTTGCCTGCCTAGAGATTTCGATAGTTGTACGGAGTACGGAGTACTCGCGCGAGATAAGCTAACTCAAGCTCTCTCTCTCTCTCTCGTAGCTCCTCGCTTTCGCTTTGTTGAGCCGGATGGAAGGCGGATGCAAGCCTATCACTCTGCTGCCGGTGGGCTCCCGTCTGGCTTCGCCTGCGTCTTCCAGCGTCCCTCCATACCATAACTAACTACCATCGACCGTGGCCCTTCTTCTCCCTCGCTGCCTCTGGTTCTTCTTGCTGCCTCTCTGGGCTGCTCCCGTTGCTTTTTCAGCTTGCTGCTCTCTTTCTTTCTTCCTGGCCGTTGCTTTTTCCTCCATCCATTTTTGCATCTTGTTGCTTTTTCGTGTTTTTTTTTTTGCAACTCTGTCGTCTCCCCTTTTTCGCAAAGGCTCTTCAAGGCGATATATAAATATACGCACAGACATGGGGTGGGCCATCCGCTGGCCTCAAAGCCAGTAGAAGTCCGAAGGGACTCTCTGTGTAAGACGCAAAGTGTAAGCCTGTCTCTCGCCCGCGCGGTCTCTTGTCTCGCCCTCGCCGTCCGTGTGTTCAAAAGGGCCCTCTTCTGTACTCCGTACACAGTATTATGTGTATACCTGGGCTGTCTCTGGCGGCTGTCCTCCCTCCCTCTCCCCCCTTAACCGTCTGCCAGCTCCCTCAGCCCCCTAAGTTTGGGGCAAACGTACGGTGGAACGCACATCAAAAAGCACCAACCCGCCTTCATCATGATCGACATATTGGTTCCATGTGATTGAATTACTCTCGGAAAACCCTGTTATACTCTCTTTTAGCTACAGAGCATGTAGGCAAGTGTAAGTAAGCGTAAGTATGCTGGGTCGAAGCAGCGTGCACCAGCAGCAGCACGCAGGCCCAGCACCACCCAAAACCGCCAGCCAGAAAAGCAAAGAGACACGCAAAATAGGCCCAAAGC